AAAAGTTAATCATTTCGCAAAATTCGGAATATTTCAGTAAAACGCAATCAATATTAAAAATACGCTGCACTAAGTTAAGATTAAATTATAATATTCCACACAATTTCTTACTCAAAATACACCAAAAGTGGATATATTCGTCAATATTGATTTTCAGCTACTTTTTGCTGGGATTGTACATACAAAACATCCTTAATAAACCTTTTTACATAAAAAGTTTTTAAAGTTCCAAAGACTCGATGGTCCACACGATTTTCGAAAAATTCGAATGTTGAAAATCTAATATCTATTAATATTGAATAAACTTTGATTCGATTTCTATGGAATTATCGAACCGCGGAGAGCAGTAAAAATTGTTTACGAAACAATCTATGGTAACAATGAAATCCATCGTTGCACAAAGGAAATAAAATCCTTTATTGCGCTTTCTCTGTTCGTGGGGTTCGCAAGAGAGTTTTCGCGAGGGTTAAGGACGTTTGGAGAGGGTCGCATATATCGAAGTTGCGGCGAGCAAGAAGAACGAAAGTGCCGCGCTTGTAAATAACGAAATGGAAAATTCTCTCCTTAGTCACGGCATACTTTCACATCGACACGCTGCACTTGCTTATCGTTAAGGTAGAGGAATCGCGCGCGATTGTACGTCCGCTTGGGCACGTGCGCGCGCGCATTTACGCACCTGCGTGTGCCACGCGCATACGTGAAAGGTATTTAACGAAAGGACAAGGGAGACCAAGATTGCTAATCGCAATCCTGATTGCGACAAACGAGAATGCTGTTGACTTATAATTGCGACGCTTAATAAGTATATATGTGAATGTGATTGTTGAAATAATGAATTCCAATATCAAAGAGGTAAAGAAAATAGAAATAATGGTGATATTTACAAATATTTAATAGAAACATATTTAATAAAAAATATGTATATTTAATAGAGAGAGAAAAAAGAGAAAGCAAAAAGTTGTGAAAAGTTTGATGTAGACTTAATATACATTAAATTAAAAAATATGTTTCTTTTTAAATTTATATAAATTAATATATATAATATATATATTATATATTAATTTATATAAATTAAATGTATATATATATATTAATTTATATAAATTAAATGTATAATGAGTATACGTGTATATGTGTGCACATGTATATGTGTGTGTGTGTGTGTGTGTAAAAAAAAATAGAGAGGAAGTTCAAAGCAAATTCCTAATACATTCATGTCAACATTTGCGCGAGACTAGACTTAACGATAACTGACGAATATTTTATGCTACTGTATATATATATATATATATATATATATATATATATATATATATATTGCGAGTAAAATAATATATTGAAATTAAGTGCAAAAATTGCGACACAATAATCAATGACGTGTATTGAATATGTACAAGTCTCGTACATGCAGTACGTTGTTAATTGCATCGCGTTTGCGCAAACTCTAAGGTATTGCTTTCAAATATGAATGTTATGACTGGTTATTTCTCGCTGATAAATATAATGAAATATATAAATGCCAAAGTAAAATAATTGCATTAAATAGTAATAAATAATGATATGGTAATAAAATTAATTTATGAATCACCTCTGTGCACGTGTGTTCATGCAAGTTTTGTGACATTTTAATCGATATTTCATTTCTTTCTTCCTATACCATATTTTTCACATTCCATTAATAATAATAATATTTGAAAAAAAGGAAAAATGCACATATCTTTATTTTATTAAATATTATATATTTTATTATTCAAGATAAAGAAATGATAAAATTTAATAGAAGAATAAATAACAATGAGTAAATAGAAATATATAATAAATTGTATCTAAAATTAAAAAGTCGCTCAATTGAAACTGCTTTCAACCATTTGAACATACTCTACTAACTCTCCTGGTCTCTAGGAAGTAATCACTCTTACGCTTGAATATACTTTCCCTCTGCCGCGGGTTTTTATCTGTATAATTTCGTTCCCATTGAATTCATCGACTAATATTATAGTAAGGGAAGCACGAGAAAAGCGATTTTTTTATTTATCGCCCGAAGATGATCAATCAAAAATGAGAATAAATAATACTGTTATCGTTTTCAATTCAAAGACTGGTATAAAATAATATACGTGATTTACATTTTCGCATCATTCTTATTCGTGTTCATACTTTGACAATTTTCTCCCGATGCACGTGGCGTTTAACGTCATCGCGGGAAGTTATAAACGTCAATGTCTGCTCGGTTTGTTTCTCGGCAGAAGCTCTTACGTGCGAATTTCGCGAACCGCGAGGACGTTTGCTCGGTGAAATTGAACAATTAAAATTCTGCGAGCGAGTCGTTAAGACGTGTGTCTTGCATTTTCAACTGCCGTTTGGAACTTCAGTATCATTAACCATCATCATTTTTAACGAGTCAGAGTTTATTACGAGACTTCTACCGTATAGAGAGAGAAGTACCGTTCTATACAAAAGATATATTACACATAAATTTTAACTCTATTCATGACATTATGATATTACGATCTTCAAAAATTTCTTTTCACAGATGCTCGATGCCTTGATAATAGACCACGCAGATTTCTGATATCTAGATACTATCTTTATTCTAGTCTACACTCTCTTTTGGCACGATAGATCTTCGTACATTTTCGGTACTATATTATTTTATAAATCCCTAGCAATCACAAGTATTTCTTAGATGAATTATGGAACTTATCTTCTTATTTGAAATTTCAAATATGCGAAGAAAGTGCGATTTTAACTTTCTATTTGGATTATTCAGACCGCCTTCTTGTTCCTTTTTTCATTCACAGATTTTAAGATCTGATACTTGAAGTCCGCATATTTTCAACTCTACACAGAAAAAAAGACATTCTTGTTTTGAAAATATATTTAGTTTTAACATGGAAATCTTGAAATGAGATTATATTGCGTTAATTAAAGAAAAATATAATTGCTTGAATAATTGCTTACTTGAATGAAGCCATTTTATATAGTTCAATCGAGAAAAATATATTCTTATGATTTAAGATTTAATTTTCTTGAATGGAAAAAAAAACAATGTTGGATAGGAAATAACATTTTTAAATCAAAGATTACAATTTTCTTAAAGTAGAATTAAATAATTATATATTCTTGAGGTGACAATTACAATATTAAAATAATATTCACGATAATATTGTTGAAATTTAAAATTATTAAATTCTTCTAAGAAGATTATAAATTGTTGCGTATACGAAACAATGAATGCGTTAGTTTAAGTATATAAGTGATTGGACGCTTATTTTTTTTCTGTGTACAATTTCTCAAGTAAAATAATTATTTAATGCATTTATTCTTGATAATATATTGATCACTGAAGCATGTGGTTTTTCTTGCTTTATAATTATTGGCACAGCATTAAGAAGATAGCGGGGAATGTCCTAGTGACCTAAGTAACGATAATAATCTGTCATAACAGCATGCACTTCGATCCTCCGCTCCATACTCCAGTGCTCTTTATAAGAACATAAGATAATGCCAATGCCACTGTAGATAAGACTTTCACATTATTTCAGGCCGATGCAATTATAATCAGTAAGGCTAATAAATAAAATCAAGATGACAATTACAAGAAAGTCATATAACGGCTTAATGATTCATTATTATTATTATTATTATTATTATTATTATTATTATTATTATTATTATTATTATTGTTGTTGTTATGTAAAGTCTGTTATCTTGTTATTGCTTTGATCAATCAAATTAATATGATGTGATATATATAATTTTGCGAAAAGAAAAAAAGAAAGAGAGAGATACTTTTAAATATTGTTATCAAATAATGATTCAAGTCCACTGACTAGGATTAAGGCCAAGATATATATATATGCATGTCACATATTATCATTTTTAATTTTTTTTTTCATTTTTACTTATCTAACAACTGGAACTATCCAGTGAAAACTACTCCATATGATTTTAACAACTGGAACTATCCAGTGAAAACTATTCCATATGATTTTATTATATGATCTCCACCCACTATTTTAAAGACATTAATTTATATAACGCAAATACATCTGATCATTGATTATCAAAGCTACTTATTTAGATCAGGCCGAAGTCTCCTAAAGTCCCGAAATAATAGCTTCGCTGAAAAAGATGCGTGCAAATAATGCATAAAGCTTTTCTTTGTCATCGATTTGGGAAAATCCTCGTCAAGCATTCCAAACACGACCATGGAAATCAAGACCCCGATAAGATTAGCAACGCTAGTGCAACCAGTGACTCTAAAACGGTGTGGCAAAAGCGTCGATTATTGTTATGCGATTGTTATTCAATCGTGTCTAAACGTACAGAAACGGCAAGTGTGCGGCGACTCGGGATTACCCAACAAGTAGCTTCGACCAAGTGACTTTCTCCAAGAGGCACCACACGCGTACCGAGGGGTACTGGCCTTTGAACTTCGTCGCGATACCGCGTCTCTTGGTAATGATAAGTACGCGATGTGCGCGGAAAATCCATAACCCCAGGATCGCGCAAACAATTTTAGAAAGTCGCTCGCCACCGAAGTCCCCTGCGTGAATCTATATTTGCATCTATATTTAATGCCGTTTCGTGTCACAAAACTCCGTACCGGTAACAAGCTTTACTGAGAGTTATGGAAGTTTTTATTTCGCCAGAAATACACATTATGCTTGTGTGGAAATTTATGGAGAAGTTTGCGATATTGATGGGCAACAGTTCGGCGAAATTACGGAACTTTGTTGCGCGAATTCAGAATTTTACAACCGCGGGCTTTAGACTTGAATAAAATGTAGGCGAAATTAAAAGAAAAATGTGTATTTTAATCAATACATATTTCACACATTCCGTCCGATAGATCTATTTATTCTTGTAAGACAGGAGATTTACGTCTTCTTTTAATTCAATTGATACAATGATTAAAATCAGCTATATAGTTGTCATATATCTCTGAACTGTCTATACGCAAAATGAATTAAAAAACTTTCTTGAAACACTTCAAGGTGAGAAGAGGAACGTGCGTGAAAATCTGACGAGGGATGATTCATCCTCCTTCTGTGTGTCATGTAATCCCTTATGGGGGTACCATCGTCCCATGAAATAAAGCTTTGTGTCAGAACAAAAGGTATAAAATTTCGATCGATGAGCCCTTTTTTGATAAAGAATTATTCAAGCGAATATTCCTTCGCTAATTGAAAGATAAATCTTTTCGATCAGATTTGCATGATAGTTCAATGATAATAAAAAACATGACGCAAAATATTGCTACTGTTTTATTGTTATATTATTTAGATTCGATTATTATATACGTATAATTTTACAAATAGATTGTACGACAATTATTCCAATCATTTCTTGTCATTGATGTGTATGTGATAATAATGCACAAAAACACACAGTTGAAATTTCATTGAATTATTAATGAGACATTGTATTATATGAATAATGAGTTTAAGTAAGTTTAATCGATTCTCGGTTATACCACGATATTACGTCACACTTGCACGTGTATGTGTAGTTTTGTAACCTAAAACTATTAAATTAAATTAAATTAAATTAAAAATTCTGTTTTAAATTAATTTAAAATTGTATGTCAATTTTATTTTTTTAAGATTTGAAAAAAAATTAAATTACTCATTTCTAATACATATATGTATACATGTATATGTGTGAAATTTGAACGATATTTTAATATATCGTTGAGATATATGTATAGAATTCATTTCTATAAAATGTATTTCTAAAAGTTGATAATACCTTTATAGTGATTTTAATATATTAAGCACGTATTCTGGATGTAGGTCGAGTCTGACGACACTTTTCTACATGATTTCAATGACAATGATCCTAAATGCTTCCCTCGAACACATTCTTTACGTTGTAGTCGTTTTTCAATAATTCAAATTGAAATTGATATTTTATCTTGAAACCAATCACGAAATACAATATGGACTTCTCGATATTTCAGACATAAATAATGCAAATTCTATAATCGTTGATATAAAGCTCTTTCGATCTTACATCTTTGACATACATACATTCTTAATTTTATAAATTTTTCATAATTCTGACCCATAATATCCAATTTTACGTCTATAACATCTTAATTATTGAGATTATCATAAGTTTCACTTCACTGCTTGCTCTTGTAAAATTTCAGTTCTATAAAGTTTTAACTTGATTCCTTACAAATGACGGATTTTTTCGCATATTCCACTTCAAGACATTAAATAAACGAGCCGTGTTGTATGTTATGTCGAGAACAGTCGACGACTTTATAACAATTTTACGTAACAACAAAGACGAATAGAGAGGAAAAGAGAGACAGAGGAGGGAAGAAAAGATTACGAGTAGCACATTTTTCACATTGTGGATTTAACGAACCGTACAAGAGATTCCATTCTATACATAGTAATTCGACCACTGCAACTTACTTTGCATTTACCGAGCATTACCGTGTAGACATACGCGTAAAACATTATTAAGTGCGAAAAATACTAATTACATAGCTCAAAACACTTCTTGCGTCTGTATAAAGTTTTCTACACAAACATTTATCCTTGACCAAGGAATTGTTTGCAGAAAATGACCAATGTTTCAATTTCTTCATTTTACACACACGTACTTTTAGTTTTCACTTTTAGTGACGAAAATCGAGATAGCTTTCAATTCCACAGTACATTAATAACATAGCTCTTTTATTAATTTCTTTGGCATACTATAAATGAAGTAATATATAATTAACAGGTGGATTCGTAACTTTCGCTTTCAGATGTGGCACTTGACGTGTGTCGATGACTTCTTGAACCGCGCGTTTTACAAACTTGGCCTCACTGTCGGTCGACATCCCGGCTACTTCGTAATCGTGCCAATACTGATGGCTTGCATATGCTTCACCGGCTATCAAAGGATAAACTACGAAATCGATCCGGAATATCTCTTCTCGCCCGTCAACGGCCCCAGTAAGACCGAACGAGCGATAGTCGAGCAATACTTCAAAGTCAATTACAGCCATCAATTCAACGTCGGTCGTATTACTCGACCAGGTGAGATTTTCATCGATCATTCTGCGTTATTCTGACGATTTCTTCTCTCACGAAAAATTTCATAAATCTAATAAATCCAGAATCCCTTAAATCGACAGCTGATACATAGGATATATAAAATAAAAAAGATTCCTTGTATAAAATGTTCCTGAAAAGATATAGTATGCGAGAAGTGAACAAATTAAATATCGCAATATTTTAATTGCAAAATTTCTTTAATATTCAAATTATTGGATTTATAATCTGAATTTCTCTTCTTAATTTCATAAAATAAAATTTAATTTAAGTTCATTTTCTTCAATTCCTATTATTAAATACTTTCATAATTAGATTTCCTCGCCATGTTTGTAGAAAAGTAATTCACAATTCAATTTTCTCTTGCTATATTTAAAAATGACGTTTCTTGGTTAGAGATTAATTAAGTTTATTGCTTGTTGCAGGCCGATTTGGTCATGTAATCGTGATTCCTAAGGATGGCGGGCATAACATGTTGAAGAGCTCGATTTGGAAGGAACTAATGGAACTCGATCGGATAATTAAAAATATCAAAGCAAAATATGAGGACGAGGAATTCACATACAATCAGATTTGCGCACGATGGCTCGAGGAGTGTTTCACCAACGATATTCTAAATCTACATCAAGTGATAGAGTAATTATACCGCAATAAATATACGAAAAGAATTGAAGAATCGCGTATTAAAAAAAATAATAGAGCTCTTTTGCTTGTTTAAAGCAATTTATTAATTGCGTCGAATTTTGACCGAGTTTTCGACTTTTCCAGCGAAGTGGAAAGGCGGAAGCTAAATCTGACATTTCCGATAACGATCAATCCGGCCACCTGGGACGCTCATTTGTTGCCGGTGTTCTTCGGTGGAAGTGTTCTCAATGACGATCTCACTGTAGAATCGGTGCCTTCGATACAGCTCGGCTACTTCATCAAAGTCGATAATCCACAGCAAAATGCGATGTGAGTCTACTCTTTGGCTTATCGAGTTTGCGAAAGCATTCGCTTAGCTTGTCGTGGAAAAAATTCATTTATACGAACGATTAAAGTTCCATAAAAAGAAAAATATATATTAATACTGCAGAACGATACTCATAGAATATTTCCGCATTCGTGCAGTAAAATCGGTAGTAATTTTTTATTCCATGGTTTTAATTTTTCGTAAGCTCTCAAGAAATGTGTGTCAAACTAAATTTTTTATTAGATATAATTGAGATGGCTATTAAAACTTAAAAATTCACATAATGGATGATCTTTAAATGGTCTCTAATTTCTGTACTTTATAAATTATTTATGCAAAGAAATATAATCTATATTAATGTAGAAAATTGCTTTAAATTTTGAATATAAGGATAATTATTATCTGTGAAAAAGTATAATGTCTCGTTAATATATCATATGATCGCCAATTGAATACGATCAATTGAATCATCTATTGCTATCAGTAATGCTCATGCAAATAATAGATGCCTGATTCACTCGTGACTATTCGTATTGATTACCTATTGTTGTCATTAGAATATTGCACATTAATAGATTTCTCGCCATATTCGTTTCGGATATATACCGAAAAAAATTTAATTTCTATCTTCATTCGGATGTATATAAAAAAAAAATTCAATTTCATTCTATCTTCATTCTAATTTTATTTTATCATTTTTATCAAAATATTACTATCCAATATTTCATCAGGATATAAAAGGACGAATGTACGAGCATGTTATATTTTACATTTTCTTGCATAAGTTTTTTTTATTGTACGTTTCTGTTTTGTGTAAATGATTCTCCATGAAAACTTTTTTTTATTAAAAATAATATTTTAAGTGCACGATTTTCTCTTCAGTATCCCAATTTAATACTACGTGATTTTGATTCCCAAATTAGCGGTGCCGCTTGGGAGGAAGCTTTCCTAGAAGTCGTCGGCAAGGCCGAGGACGGAGGCGCGTTTAAGCACATTAGCATCGCAAGATTCGCTTCGAGGACCCTCGAATTGGAACTAGAGGCCAACACCAAGACAGTCGTGCCGTATTTCAGCAGCACGTTCATCATAATGGCCCTATTCTCGATCGTGACATGCATGATGACCGATTGGGTACGTAGCAAGCCTTGGCTCGGTCTTCTGGGCAATCTCTCGGCCGCTATGGCGACGGTCGCTGCATTCGGATTATGCATGTATCTGGGGGTCGATTTTATCGGCCTGAATCTCGCCGCACCGTTTCTCATGATAGGTAAGTTACTGCTGAAACTGTCAGAATTTGAATGTCTGTGAATTTATTCTCCGATTATCCAATTATCCGATAACAATTAAAATAAAGGCATAAAATTTTGCAAACAGCAAAATAAATATACATTAGTTATTTGCGTTATTTTACGTACAAATTATATTATTAATTTTAGTAATACTAATTTTACAGTTATTTTTTAACAGCATATATTTAATTTAATTTTTAACAAGTATTTGAAGCTATTTAAAATGAAAAATATTAATAATACATTATTTGACAACAAAAGTTGCATATTGTTTCTATCAATATTAATTTCACGGATAATTTTGAAATTATCAAGTATTTTTTGCAATTTTAAAATTAATATTAATAATATATTATTTGACAGCAAAGGTTATACATTGTATCTAAATTAATTTCACTGATAATTTCAAAATCATCAGTAATTTATGCAGTTTTGAAATACTTTATTCGCTTCTTCCCGTCATCACACATGCACATAACTTTTTTTGCAATCTTTATTATATCGAAATAAAAGAAGGTTTGTCAATCAATGTTCAGATTGATACTTTGTGTAAATTGAGCAATACGAAAATAACGATAGAACTTTGCCGTTTTTGCAATACGATGCCGTAATTCCCTGTCACGTCTGTAGAAACGTACATTTTCGACGATAAATATGTTAGTTCGCTTCGTCAGGTGCGTATAAGCGAAATAAATATACTGTGATTTATGTGAAAAGCGGAAGTCTTCTTTTCCCTTTCGACGTCGCGCTCGCCTGCACTCAACGCCGAGTAAAATCGGTTCTTATCGATAATAACGGCTTCATTCACGATCCAATCGACCGGTCGCAATTCAAAATAACCATTATATTTACTCAGAAATTTTATTCAAAAATATATAATTGATTAGCAAATTAATAGATATCTTTTCAGTTATATTATTTAATTTAATTGTATTGAATAGAAGTAGATAATTTCTAAATTTTTCAGAAGACACATTCATTTATTTCTATCACAAAATTAAAAAATTTTAATAAAAATATAACTAAATGATTATATGTACAGTAGCCTGATAATATTATTATAATTTTAAATAAAAATTATAAAATAATATTATACATCTGAAGAAAAGCGTTTTTCTCTTTATGATGCATTCTTATTAGTCACGCATTATGTATTGTTTCGATAAGAAACCTAATACATATGCGACATGCACTCTTTCAGTTTTGACTTATTGCGAAGAAAACAAGTTTTCTTCTCATTTATACTTTGAAAAATCAGACGCAACTGGTATAGACAAACGTGACATCCGGAGAATTGGCGGTGATAAATTTTCAAGGAACAATTGCACGTTTAGAAACGCGTGGATTCTTTCAAACAACATTATTTTTTTTTAAATTTATTTACCGCTAACAATCCCTTCAAATTTATAAAAATTTTAATTTCCACAAAGTTATTTAATAAAATTTATTAAAAATTAAGGTAGATTTGCTATATATATTTCCCTTAAAAAATAAACAAAAGAAAAATTTAATAAAAAAAATAAATATATTTTTAAAGATAATTTGGACTAATTTAGAATTTTCTCTTTATATGACTCAAATATATAATTAAATGTATAATTTGCTATTTTATAAATATAAGCAAGGAATAATTGTTGAATTACAATAAAAAATGCGTAAAATACCAGATTTTTTACGTATGTATTTTTTCGTTACAGGAATAGGAATCGACGATACCTTTGTTATGCTAGCGGCCTGGAGAAGGACGAGCATTAGTAAACCGGTGCCAGAAAGGATGGCGGCAACATTGAGCGAAGCTGCCGTTTCCATCACGATTACATCTTTAACGGATATGATATCCTTTTTTATTGGCATTTTATCGCCTTTTCCTTCGGTTCAAATTTTCTGCATTTACTCAGGTACCAAGACCATTTCAAATAAATAGATTTTCATTTATTATTCTTCACATACGTAAAATATTTTACTTATATTTTGTTTTGATAATATTTCGATATTTTTTGTTTAAAAGTACATGAAAAAGATAAAAAAAATTGAAAAAATCTTGACATAAGAGTATGCAAAATAGTAAAAAACGATAATAAGAAAGTAGTTCTGAGATATTCTTTCTACAACAATTTTTGAAATATCCATACTAGAATGATATAATTCATATTTTTAATATCGAGCATGCATTAAATCACAGGTTTTGCGGTAGTCTTCACTTTCCTATTTCATCTAACGTTCTTCAGCGGATGCGTCGCGATTAGCGGTTATTGCGAACAAAAAAATTTACACAGTGTTTTCTGCTACAAAGTGCAACCTTTATCCAAATCGAGTAAGCATTATAATTATTTTATTTATAATAGCAAAATATAATTTATCTTTTTTTCTCTCTTTCTCTATCTCCATTTCTTTTCTCTTATATTCAAATTTTTTTACAAAACTGACACTTGTATCTTTTTCGCTGGAGCGAATAATTAACAATTTATTAATTTCGAATTTTAATTAATTTTAATCTCCATAAATTACTAGTATGTTCTCGTTATATCTATTATTATGTCAATCATCATTATTCAGTGACTGCCATTTGAAATATCGTTACGTCTGCATGACGTATTGAAGTTACGTCGTGCAAATGCACGCGTTACGTTTGAATACCGTTAATTCATTAGATCACACAATATTATGTAACGAGAAAAGAGAGCTTGCTTTCTCCTTGTTTCATTTTTTATATATTGTCATATTGATGATTGCGAAACCTCGAGAAAGATATGTGTGTGTTACGTCATTAATTTTATTAATAATTATAAGTAAAGGACTTATTAATAAAATATTTTGCAATAGCCTGAATGAAAAACATTGATGGCATTTAATGGTGCAACTTTTAAATACGACATTTCAGCTCATCGATCGTGGTTGTACAGAATGTTATGTTCCGGCGGAATTGATCCTGACGACCCTCAGAATCCAATCGACAATCCTGAACATGGATGCATGACTTGGTTTCGTGATTATTTAGCTGCCGCGTTAAACTGTCGCCCCGTGAAAGTGATTATCATCCTCATTTTCGGGTGCTACCTTCTTGGTGGCATTTACGGACTCACGACTCTTAAAGAGGGCCTCGATCGACGCAAGCTCTCCAAAGAAGATTCCTACTCGATCACTTTCTATGATCGCGAGGACTTTTATTTCCGGGAATTTCCTTATAGGATACAAGTAAGTTAAAAAAATTGCAAAAATCACAAAACAGTCGATAAGAATTTTTCATTTGCTTTGGCGATATATATTTTTCTAATCTCTTTTTCTGTTATATTTAATTATCAGAACTCGCAAATTTTATTTACTTTAATATCAAAAGAAAATATTATGAAAAATGCCGAGGAAAATAGTATATATATCGCTTTCATTTATTTTAAATATTATTATTTAAATATTATTACTTATTAATATTTTTTAATTTATTTATTAATATTTTAAATATTATTCATTTATTTTAAATATTATTTAAATATTATTACGTAAGCACATGTAAGAGATGAATCTTAATTTCTACTCTAACTCTTCTTGTCAATAGTCGAAAGTATTTTTTCAGCACCATTCTTTATTGACGCATGCAAGATCTATACATTTTTATGATCGCGATAGCTCGGTTATTCTTTAGTCAGAAAAAAAACCCATCCGCGTTGGTCAATATTTAGAGAATTCCGTTTCGTGCAAACTCGGGAAAATACATATTTCCTCACAATAAGTGGCGCAAAAAAAAAAGAAACATTAATATCGGAGGAACGTAGTGCGTTACGCCTGGAACCGCCATGCATAATCCGGTATACGCAATTATGTCACGTGTTCTCCTCGATACAACGCGATATCGTGCAAACAACTTTCTCCGGTCGGCTAACTTGGACTTCAAGAAAAGCAATGTCCGTTACATCACGTTCCTCCGACTCGATCGACCAACAAGAAAGACCAACTAAACAGAGATTCCGCGTTTCAATTGCTCGGCAAGCAATTCATATTCAATTTCATTCCGGAGATTTATATTTGCGAAAACATTTTTCTTTTATTTTTGACATAATAATTACAACATTTTTTTAAATAATAATACAGTTTCAAGAAATTATAAGATACTTTTTTATAAATTGTAATAATGAAATAATTTCGAAACTTTTTCACTCGTATTCGGAATAATATTAACTGTATCTTAGTCTTTAATCTACAATCTTCGTGAACATAAATTAAATATTGCCTAAAATCCTTCTAAATTGACAAATCTTCGATATACGAAGAAATTACGTGAAATTTGTAGTTAAATAAATTTCAGAAAAAATGCAACTTATAAATTAATTTGTGACAAAAAGATCTCCTACAACTTCCGTTTCAATTAGATAATTACGTATCTCATAATGCAGCGTGTCGAAGGCAATTTCAACGCTGCGTGTTTCTTTACGTGGCGTTAAAGTCTCGCTTCGATGAAATAAAATTATAAACTCGCCGAGAGATATGGTCGAATTATGAATTTCACTGGGACCCTTTTCCCCGTTGCGTTAGTCCCGATATATTGTAGTGAAAGTACGCTTCTCAAAGATGGTCCGGCACTATCGCGTTTCCTCGCAATATTAATAATGCCACGAGAATCGCGGCGCCGAGTCGGGTGACTTTGCGGAAACGTCATTCACCGAGAAACTACTGTCACGATGAATTCTTAACGACGTACGGCGTAATTAGGTTCACTCGTGAAATGAATTTATGTTGAAACGTGCGTCACTCATGCCGAAAACATAAAACAAATTACATAATCATGACAAAATATGAAGTTGCGGCTCTATAAGATCCGAAAGGCGTGACATTACATCTCGCGAGAGGCGCGCTTTCTCGAAATTACTTTCACGAAGATATTGCTGGAATTCCCGAAAAGATACTCGTATTCCAATATTACAATCTCTCTAGCCGCTGTAGCGATCATTATATTTGTGAATTTTATGAAAGGAAAGGAAAGAAAAAAGAAAGTAAAGCAAAACAAATGTCCAAATCGATTCTTGACAAAGTTTTCAAATTATTTCAATAGATTGAAATATGTGCGTATTATAGTAGATAATAAGCAATTACTCTATAATCTTCTACAAGAAACATTTAGTAAGACAATTAAATTGTCAAAATTTATAAACTGCTCAATAATAGAATTATAATATAATTATATATAAATATGTATATCATAAATTTATATAATTTTATTATATAATTATTTGTATATCATTATTAAATAGATGCAGTTTTCTATAACACACGATACACATAATATAATTATATAAACAGTAAACAAGATATAAAGTGAGTAATATGATAATTTCACATAATGCAATATAAATGCAGTTGTATAAATGTAATTATGTATTATATTTACAAAATTGTATTATATGATTACTATTATTAAACAATTAGAAACACATTACATATAATGCAACTCTTTCTTGATAAATAAATATTTTGCTATTTAATATTTTGCTAAATATCACCGTGAATAATTAATTAATTTAATTTAAAAATGCATGAAAAATTTAAATAAAATTAATAAAATTAGCAGCTAAAATGTTTGCCACAAACAAATTTGTTTCGAAAAATCAAAATATGTATATATGTGTAGTTACAGAAACATGACGCTTCTTTTATTAAAATATGTTTTGTCGTTTTCAAGATTTATAATTTGAATAATTTAAAAAAATGTCATAAATTTTTAGATTTTACGAAGGCTTTTCATTCTCGCTTGCATTCTTGCACTTGTTTACTTTTATTCCAATTTTCAATTAAAAAATAAAAAAAAACAATATTCCTGGCATATTTCATATATATATATATGAAATATGCCAGGGATATTGTTTTATATATATATATATATATATATATATATATATATATCGTATTCTTATCATCTTTTAGGTGGTGATATCCGGCGAATATGACTACAGCGATCCAATAATTCAGGAACAAATGGAGAATTTAACTAGAAACCTCGAGGCGAGCAAATACATCAGCGCGCCGATTTACACGGAGAGTTGGCTTCGAAGCTTCCTCGGTTACATATTACGCAACGATGATTATTTGAACGTGACTATCAAGGACAAACATAACTTTACTAAAACCCTCAAAGAGCTCTGGTTGTTCCCGTCCAGTTCCTTCTCCCTAGATGTCAAGTTTGACGAGACGGACGAAAACATTGTGGCCAGCCGATTTCTGATACAGGCGGTGAATGTGAGCGGCACGAATCAGGAGAAGGATATGGTGAAGGAGCTGCGTCACATTTGTGATATGTCGCCGTTAAACGCCAGCGTGTTTCATCCGTATTTCGTGTACTTTGATCAATACGAGCTGGTCCGGCCGACCACTATCCAGTGCATGACGTTCGGCGCCCTCATTATGATGCTCGTCAGTTTCATCTTCATCCCCAATGTTCTCTGTTGCCTATGGGTAGCCTTCTGCATCGTGTCCATCGAGCTCGGGGTGACTGGCTACATGGCGCTGTGGGATGTTAATCTCGATAGCATCTCCATGATCAATCTGATCATGTGCCTCGGTTTCAGCGTCGACTTCACCGCGCACATCTGCTACGCTTACATGAGCTCAAAGCAAAGGCGGCCAGAGGATCGGGTGAAGGAAAGCTTATACAGTCTAGGTCTGCCAATCGTTCAGGGCGCCGCGTCGACGATACTCGGTTTGATAGCGCTTCTGCTGGCTGGCACCTATCTTTTCCTCGTCTTCTTCAAGATGGTCTTCCTAGTGATCTTTATCGGCGCCTTGCACGGTATGTTCCTGCTGCCTGTGTTGCTATCCCTCTTCGGACCTGGCACCTGCAGCAGCGGACAGGAGAACGAGCCCGGAGAGGACGAGAACGCGAAGAACAGCACGCAGGAAAAAGAACTAGCAAGCAAGCTTCAGCAACCCTATGTGATTCCACATCCTCATCTAGTCTATTACACGAGCGCTGTCAAACCGCTCCAGGACAGTCCTGCGACCAGCATGGCGGCATTCGAGGAGAGGGATCCTGGCTTGGGTACCAGCGAGGATAGCAACTCGACCGAGAGTGGCTCCTCGCAGAGCAGAAGACGTCAATGCAAGCAGCAGGACCAGCAGCCGGATCAACAAAATCAGGTTCGCCACGACATGTGGAGAAGATCCATCGGCGTCCTGTATGGCCTGTCGCAGTTTCAATCCATGACCGAACCCGCGTATCCGACGCCGGACTATCCTGGAGCCCAGGTGCGAGAAACCGGCGAGGAAAACGGTTCACGAACGATGCCTTATCTAGGACCATACACCGCGTCGCCGTACATACATCGTCTTCCGAATCAGTTTTCGCGGGACTACAGACGCAGCAGATCCTATCACAATCTGCAGTCGACGCGACATGTAACGGATCCCCGATATCCGTAGTAGAGAGTTGAGATGAATAGCGCGAAAGAAAGATATTGTCAGCGTGATAAGCGAGACGAACAAATCATTCGATTGAATTTAGGCTTCTTCGCGAGCGGAATGATAGCGATAATTGATTAAGGCAAACTGTTTTTTGCAATTTTGCCGAAAAGATTGACCGACGTTACGAAACCATGACAATGCGAGAGAAAGAAGAACGAAGGAAGAATCTTTTTTGCAAGATTAGAATGCTCGAATTACGATTTATATTACTTTCAAGGGGCTGAATTTCGAGAGTCAAAATTTAACTCTCAAACAGCGACACAATCGCACAAATAGTAGCACCCGAGTACATTCGGATCTACAATAAAATATATTTTTTATCTCGAATAAAATTTTTGTTGTTAAAGTTTGATTTTATTGCAAATTTTATTATACCTAAATATTTATATATACCTAAATATTTTTCTTCCTAAATTATCCATGACAAAAATACACATAAAAAATAAATAAATAATAAACGTAAATGAAAGTGTAAGTAAAAATAAATAAATAATAATAATTGATAGAATTTTTTAAATTGTAAAGAAAAAAAAAGAACAAAATGAGAAAATATTTTTTAAAATGTAAGAACATTATTCCTTTTTTCTCTAATATAATTTATACAAAAAGTTTTATAAAAAAAAAATTAATTTTATATATTACATCTGTTCGAAAAAACCTAAGTACTGAATAAGAATTAATGTGATCTTGGAGAGATATTTTTATATAATAATGCTTACTATGAAGTGTGAATAAATGATGAAGCGTTAAAATTATGTGTCAATATATTCGTAAGTATTTTGGGTATATCAATACTTAAGAACATAACTTGCGAAACGAGCTATCACAAAGTGCCCTAAGAAAGATGTGAATAAGTAATAGACATATGTGAATGTTGCATTTAGTTGAAATTAAATATAATTAAAAAAAACATCGTTTTTATCGATCCTCAAATTTTTAGAAATTCATCGATGTTCAGATATCTATAATTATTTAATAAATTGTGTTCTGTTCATCTAATATTTTTGACGTAAGTAAAAAATGAGGATTACAATCGCATTCAATTTTAAATGTACGGTAAAAAATATACAAGTTTAAGAGCTATACAAATTTTAAATCCTATCTACGAATCTCTGATATCTTTAGATTCGTAAATCATTTAATCACAAAATTTTAATTCGCTGGATTCTACATCAATAATTTGCCTCCACCCTTTTTCCTCTCCGCTCTATCATTCCACAATTTTGGCATATTGCGCTCTTCGCAGCCAAAGGGTTAATCTCGTAATATTTACATTGTGCAATGTTCTTTGCGTAAGAACAATGCACATATTCAAGAGGATAATGCCGGGATGGCAACGCCTCATTTGGGTTTATGTTAGTCTGTAAGGATAGCTCAAATCGAATGCGATAATATCTAAACGTGTGTGTGTATATATATATATATGTATATATGTGTATATACATATATGTATACATAAACATGTATGCTCAATATATCAATCAAAACCAAACTGCCCCGCAATGTATGAGTTACAAAGATTTAATTAACATATCAATTGTTCATATCAAACAATACGTGGCCTTAAACTAATCCACAAACGTAACAGTTTATTGTACGATAAATCGAATTAATTCAATTTCATAAGTAATTTGTACAGTAGCTAAAAAAGAAATATTATACGTAAAGTGATAATGTTTTTTCTAAAGTTTTCTAAGTTTTCTTAAAGTTTCTTTTAGAAAGGAAGAAGAAACTTGAAAGTTGATTTGTTTCGTTTCCTCTTTTATATGTATATTTGATAAAAAAAGTTACATTAAAATAAATATTTAATTTCAAAGTTTCCAAAGTTTCAAAGTTTTAATTTTTAATTTGCGCTCGAATGGTTTTCTAATTAGAATGTATTATAGCCAAAATAATCTACAAAAGAAGTGCTAAACAAAGGTAGAATTAATCAAGAATGCAAGCCAAGAACAAACGTTACGCTTCGTGATTCGCATAATACTCGTATATATCCATATAAATGTGAATAAATAATTTAATGGGGCTCGTAAGAATTTATTGTATTTCCGTTTCTCTTAATAATTTCTTTTAATAAATTTGCATAATCGACGATAAAATGCAAATTATCATGTCTTTGCGAAACCATTAGAAATTTTGTATATACAATACAAATCTAAAAATCTAAAAATAAATCTAAAAATAAATCTAAAAATATTTCACAATACAAATCTAAAAATATAATTATCGTGACAAAATCAAAAATAATTTAAAAATTTTTCGGATGAAAACTTTCTCTTCCTATTATTTCTCTAAACTTTTAAAAATGTCTATACATTTTGCACGTCAAAACTTCGCACTTTAAAATAATTTTCAGAATATTTCTAAAATAATTTTATCTTTATCTAGAAATTTATATATAATTGCGATGTGTAAAAAAGACTGGCAGTAGATGCATATCTTATCGTACCATAAATTGTAACGTTTGCGAAAACCTGAAGGATTCGAGAGAACTCCTTTTTACGAGAAATAAGGCCTCATTTGTCGAACGAGGTTCTCACTTATCATATCACAAAAGTAGTTTAAAAATATGACAATATATATCTTACAAATGGAAGTAACGACAATAATAATGTACAAGTGCGGGCGAATACATGTATCTAAAGAAGCAATCTCGCGATGTACAGACATGACGAATATCTTCCTCACTTTTCAATTTACAGCGTGCGTGCGTTTTCATATTTATGAATGCGAGAAAGAGAGATAGTATATATGAGTCGAGCGATACTGTAACTAATGACAAATATGACAATTTGTTGTCATTAGAAAAAGTAATTAATATAGAAAATATATTCGAGCAACGATCTTTTAAATTTGTTTCTTATTTCCGGCGTCTTTTACTTATTTCGAAATTTTCTCTTCCTCTTTTAAGAAAATTAAGCTTATCGCGCAGATGTACAAAAAATATTACATTATTTGTTCAATTGTTTAATTAATTGAAATAATAATAGCAATAATTATAAGCAATCTTCCGCTATTTCTTTCAGAGATGGAATATTGCCTTGTGACAAGAATTAAAATTTTGTTTTTCAAGTTTTGAATTGTCCAAGGAAATATATATAATTCAGAAGAAAACACATACCTGTATAAAATAAAGTGCAGATTCCAATTTCAGGACCTTTCAAAGCTTCTCTCCATATTGTGAGAATTTGGTTTCACGTTAAACAATTTGAAAGGGATAAACGAGCGAGTTCTAATTACGCAAAGTGCAAATTACGTAAAAGGAGAGAATATAATTCGGTAAAAGAAACTGAACGTATTAATTCCCAAATTTTTAGATTCGAATTTTCGATATTTTGATACGTTTATTAAATAAACACGCACCACACAATTGATGACACGATTGGCGCGAATTAAAATTGATACTCGTTAGTTTATTCATATTCGATGTAGAGTGCGCTGTATTTGGCGGTGACGCGTCGTTCGACCAATCAGAACAAAGGACTCTTCCTATTGGACCTCCTACGATGTGAAGGTAATATTTCGTTTATCGAATGACAAGCTTTGTCAGACAAACTGATTGGCTCCTGTGCCAAAAAAAATTTGGGAATTTTAGGAATTCCCTATCTAATAGCCAATCAATTCGTCTAAGCAACTCCCTATCTAACAAACAAAATATCTATCGTCATACAACAGTGGGTCTGTTCTTTTCAGCTGCACTGCTGCACTAGTGCAATTAGTTAGAGTGAAAGAAAGTATGTTTGTCTCTTTCTAACTTATTGCACTAGTGCAGCAATACAGCTGAAAAGAACAGACCCAGTGTAATATCACTTTAATACAAAAGTGTACATTAACCTCTATTGATCATAATTCGAGAATTATTTAACAAAGAGAGAGTAGTCTAATAAGGAATAAGGAATAAGAAGAGAAAGAGAAGAGGAAGGAAAAGAGAAAAAAGAAAGAGATATGAGTGCCTAAATAATCACAATAGGACTAAACTGGTTGAAGACACATTAAACTTTTATAAAAAAAAAATAAATAAATAAATCGAGAATTAGTTTGTAATCTTCTAAGGAATATTATATATAATAGTGAATAAAATTTAATACATAATATCTCTGGGGTAACACTATAACGATGTCAGCGACTAAAAAGCTAAAATTTAAAGAAGAAAGACAGAAAATTAAGAAGATGAGGTAAAAATCTTCTTTCTTTATCGAAAAATCTCTTCCTTTAAATCTCTTTAACTAATTGGATTGAATTTTTGTTTAAGTAAGGCGCAGATGCAGCTAGCTATAATAAAAAAGAAGCAATGCGACGCAAAAGCTCTTGCAATAGTCGAGCAACTTTTGGAACCAAATGTAAATTCCGAGTGGCTACTTCAAAATGTAAGTGCGTTAACAAATATTGTCCCTGTATTTGGATATTTAATAACAATAATATTATTTATTAATTTTAATTTCAGTTAAGATTTATAAGTAAAAGTCACATGGAAGATGTTATAGAAGAGAGAGCGATAGTAAAGTTATGCGGATATGTTTTATGTTCAAAACCTTTGACTGTTGTTATCCGACAACAGTATCATATATCGATGCATAGAAACAAAGTATATGATATTAGCAGACGGAAAAATTTTTGTAGTTCATCATGCTATGGTGCTGCCAATTATCTTCTTGAACAAATGCTGGAGAGTCCACTATGGTTGAGAGAAATAGATGATATACCAATATTTCAAATATTGCCTATTGATCCTAAGTCTAAACAATGTACTCCTGGAGATGAAATCAATATTAGTGAGATTAATCTGAAATCACAAAATATAAATACCGACAATAGTGATAATAAAGAATCTACAGAACATAACACTGGCCAGCAAGCAAAAGATGTATTATTAAGTCTCGAGGAAAAAAATATATATAGTTCTTATTTATCAAATAATATAATTAATGATGACAATAAACTAGAAGAGATTCCTGTAAATATTAATTCACAAAAGTTTGAAACTTTATCACACTTATATATGAATCAAGAGAAGAGAGATGATAATCATTCTGAAGAATCTATAGATTGTAAGAGCAGCTATACTAATGTTCATAAAATAAATTTAGATTCAGAGAATTTAGAAATAAAAGTTGCTGAGCAATCTGCAAATATTCTACACTTGCATGAATATAATAGCAGAGATGCACAAAATAAAAATGTACATGTTACATGCGCTAATAATGATAGCAAAACATTACAGTCTGAATTAGATGAAATAATTAACGAAAACAATTGTAATAAAATGTTACCTTTGAATGAAATAAGTAATGACACGAAAGATGTAAATAAAAAAAGTAATGAAAATAATGAAAAGCTACAACCTCAATCAGATAAAACAAATAATAGTAATAATGATAATAGAAAAACTATACATCCTCAATTGGATGAAATATGTAATACTAATACTACAATTTCATCGAAATCTTACAATGAACATAGAAAAAAGGGAAATACAGATAGAATTAATAAAAATAAAAAGTATAAGCAGAAAGAATCTGACAATACAGAAGTACAAACTAATATTTACCATAAACTTGTAATACATGTTGAACAAAGTGTTAAAGAATGGATTACAGAAAATACACTTTGTCTTCTAATGGGTGAAATGGATGAGAAACACCAATTGTTACAAAATCTTACGCAGCAGGATAGGTATCAACAGTTGTGCAAAAAATTAAACCGATTGCAGCTAGAAGATGAAAAGGAAGAGCGTGCCAATTTAGAAAGAGATGAGCTCAAACCTCTGCCTCACTTCTCTGTACTTGAAGAAGAGGGAAAAAAGATCGACTTGAAGGTAATCAATTTTCTTAATTTCAATTGAACAGAATGTACCATAAATAATTGATTTTAATATATACATAGGTGCGTGCATTTTACAAAGGACAAATAACAATATCGCCTGAAGATGATGATAAGGAATCAAAAAATAAAGACAGTAATGATTCTGTATTACCATTAACGGATGCTCACGCTCCTAATGCACTTCGTCGCCGAATTTTCTTGGATAAGCTTAATAAAATGTAATAGCTTCCATTTCAATATAATTAGAAATTGTCCATATGTTAAAAAAGTTTAATATCTGTGCTTTATCTATATTAGCGTTATTTAGCGAATAATTTTGTATTTATACATAATTTTGTATTGATTACAGATTGCCAGATTTGATGCGTGCTTTAACTCTCAACGTGGACAGTTCTTCAATGGCACAATGTACTTATGATCACGAGAGATATTTGTTAATCAAAATCTTGAGTAGCACTTTTAATTTATCTGCTACAAACATTATTTTTAAAACTGCCGAATGGACACTTGTAGGACTTATCATGATTAAAATGTAAGAATTTAATTACAAAGCTTAACTAGATTGCAAAATTTAAAAAAATGCATATAATTTCAGGTTAAGTCTAATTGATGTACAATTGCAATCATTGCTCCAATCTAAACAAACTTCAATGTATATATCAATGATTCTTACAACATACAAACTGGATTCCAGCTATTTGGACAGATTTATAATGGAAGTGACGAACACTGTAAATACATCCAAATAAAATAATAAACAGTGTTAATTAAAAACTATGCAAGGTATAAATTCTTATAAATCAGTTTTATAATATTTTAATTTTGTTATCTATCTCCTTACATTTTTAAACTGATATAAAATACATTTCAAAAAGTTCAATTAGTTATTGTATGTAATAATATATTGCTTATTACAATATTAGAATAATTATAATGATATGGAGTAAGTTTCTTATCATTATAAAATTACTAATAAAAATAAAAAATTTTTCCAGAATCTGATATACTTACAAAATAAAAGATTAAAGACAAAAGATATATGTATATACAAATGTGATAGCACATTTCACAGCGATGTATACTTTGTATTCATAAATCAAGGTAGCTCAATTTTCCTTTTTTTATATTTTTATTTTTTAATTAGACATTCCTAAAGTGGACATGTACTTGATGTTGGTGTTGGTATTCCAGTAAGAGCAGGAGAAGAACAATCAAGACCTAATGTGTCCATTTGAACTGTAGATGCTAATTGATCTTCTGTAGAATGACTTCCAACTTTATCACGTAAAGATTCATAAAGACTATGAACTGCTTCGTTATGCTATAAAAATATGAGATATTTAATTAATGTTATAGAAGATCCATTATATATTATTGTATATATGTGCATATAACAATTAACATAAATTATTTTTAAATATTCCAATACATTACCTGACTTGTTGGTTGCAAAGCTTTCAATAATGAATGTAACCGTGCAGATGGCAATTTCGGATGTATATACCAAAGTAACTTCAACAAGTGTCGTGTAACATTATCTCTACCTAAACCAGCCAGAAAAAATTCGTCGAAAATTACTGTACAGAATGACTCATTTGAGAACTCATCAGCCATGTTTAGTATTAATAATGAAACCTACAATTAAAAATTAAATTTGATATAACAGCTTGCAAATAAAATTTGTCATTTTGGATTCAAATGATAAACTGTGATAAAAAATGCTTTGTTTCCATAATAATTTCCATAAAATGTAGGTATATTAAAATGAATACGTTACCAATGTATGTAAAAATGGATCTTCAAAAGCTCGTTGTGCTTGACAATTTGGAAGTGTTGCCAGCACTCTCATTAAACCTCTAGCATCCCCTCTGCCTCTTCCAACTCCACCACCACCTCCGACATGTAACGCATAGTACATTGATAAAACTGCTGCTACTCCAGACAGCTGAGCATATGCTTGGCACGCATCAGGAGGTGGTCCAGAATGTTCGATAATAGCAATTGCACTTTCTCTCTCGTCAGGTGGAAGTTTACAATTCAATTGTCTTATTTGATCATCAACCTAAAAATAATTTATATAAAATGTATCAATACTTCTTTCTTTTTCTTTATATTATAAAAGTTTGAAAATTAATCCTTTATAGAAATTTTTAAATTAAATACATCATAGAATTACCATAAGTGACATAAGTGCTGGCAAGAACTTTGTAACAACTTGAATGTCCAATTTTGGTTCTTTAAAGTCTTGTGAATCAATCATCTGCCAAGCAGACAATCCCAATGCAAGCATTCTCAATAATAATACAAGCACTGCATTTTCCCTGGGTAACGCTTCGCTATTTATCAAATGAAGAGCTATTTTGATTGCACTGCTAGCGAGAAAGTTTACTGCATAAGGATCACATAAAGTCATACTTAGATCCCCCAACACCTGCTCTTGTCCTCTCTATAAAAACCTATAGATCATTTTCTTAATCTAACAAATGATATTAAAACAAGTTTATATTTTAATTTTTTACCTTAATACTATCTAAAAAGCCTTGCAACTCACGAGATCTTTTAACATCCACATTCTTTTCTCTTATACATGCATCCAAACACCAAGTAAACTTGTGACAAGGATCTACAGAAATAATATCTTGCACCTAACAAATAATGTTCAACAAAATTAAAGATACAGTAAATTTGTCATATATCACTAGTTTACTGACAATAAGAGAATTAATTAACAATAATTTATACTACATATATTTACCTCTAAATCATGTAATGCCATGAGCAATTCTGCTCTTAAAGTACAATAATGAATATTTTTTGTACGTAGGAACAAAGTCCTTAAAAATTGCAGTACCATATCATACAATTTCACACTATGCCCAATCATATGAGCTAACTTTTGTACCACTTCACCCTGCCTCCTCACCTATATAAAACAAGAAAAAATCGTTGATAAATGTACTAATTGTAAATTTATAATTAATTATGACTTACCTTGGGAGATGGTGTAAAAAATAGACTATTCAAGTTACGATGATCAAATAAAATCTGTTCTTTTTCAATGATATAACGACTAAATAATGGAGATACTTCGTCTCCAAAAAGACTCTGATTATCTTTCCATATTTGGCGTTTTACTTCTGTATCGGCATCATTATATAGCTCCTTTTCTCCAATTAACACACGCAGATATTTTTCTTCAATGAGTGGGGTATTTCTTAAGATACACATAACAACAGGTCGTAAGCCAGTGACTTTCACAGCAGGAAAACTTTTAGATAGTAATTCCTTCAGTCTTCTATCGCCAGAAGAACCTTTATCGGCTCTTTCAACTCCGATTTCATTAATTTGTTTAATCAATTTTTCCCGTAATTCTTCGAGAACCGAAGCATGAAAATCTAATCTTCTAACTCCATGTAGATCAAGTAGAGGTAACATAGGTCTCAAAGATGGTAATAATATGCCATTTTCTAACTGAAATATGATATAGTTGTTACCACTATATGCATATTTATTATATTTGAAATAATTTATATTGTACTATATTTGATTATAAAATTTTTATCAAATTTATATTGTATTATATTAGATTATACAATTTTTATAAAATTTATATTGTACTATATTAGATTAGAAAATTTTTGATTATTTACTTGAAATTCCTCGATGGCTTTCAATGGATCTGTACAACTTGTTAAAGCATCTCTTAAAAACACTGGTCCTGGTATACCAAGATCCTCCAGTCCATTGCCACTTTCACCGTTACTCTTCATCGAATTCATCGTTTTATTTTATTTTTTTATTACACTATGCAAAATACGACATATTTATATTTGCCTCCAGTTGTTTATATTGTATTATAAATTGACTCTTTACACGCACGTGTACACACGATGCAAATTTCATGATCTACGTGTCGACGACATATTTACACAAATTACTTGATACTTTCATCATTAAATCAAAATTAATTATTTGTAAATTATACGATGTTAATTATTTGTAAGTTATAGTCCTGTTTATGCATTTACTTGGCAATATCAATTATACAACAGCTGATACACTTGTAAAGCGGCATTTACAATGAGATTTTAAAGGCCATTCTACAATGGCCGTAGCAAAGGGAGCGTCCTAGAGAACCTCTAGGAGAGAGAATGGACAACTGATCATGTGACATGTGATCAAGCTTTTTCATGATTGGCTGGCAGAAAATGTATCAATTTTAGCTATTGCGATGCCAATGCAAAATATGATGACACACAAATAGGACACACATATATTAACCTATTTGTGTGCATCATATTTTGCATTGGCGTCGCAATAGCTAAAATTGATACATTTTCTGCCAGCCAATCATGAAAAAGCTTGATCAGTTGTCCATTCTCTCTCCTAGAGGTTCTCTAGAGCGTCCCGTTTGACCACGTTGCGATTGACCACAGCCAATTATATCGACCTGTGCCTAGGGTAATCAGCAACGATTAACCAATCAGAGAGTCCTATTTTGAATTGGCCAATTGGCCAAATGTGCTGACATAATTTGATAGCAGGACACTAGCAGAAACCGATCAGGATTGTCCGATGTCGACAATCTGACATCGAATTGCATTGCGCAGATCCTGTTCGGTTTCTACCGACAATCTGTTGTCAGATTTTGGGTGCTTTCCAGCAAGCAACACAGGCGACACTGTGTCGCTACAGTGTCGATACAAGTGCTTTCCAACTACGACACAAGTCGACACAATCGTACACAGCAAAAATGCTGTGTTCGCCTGTGTCGTCGTTTTGTAGCACCCCAGTGAGTGCCAACATAACATTTCATATTTGGTATCATTAATTTTTTTAAGAATGGTATTGCGTGATAGAAGATAACCAAACTTTTATATTCGCTAAAAAGACGACTTAAAGACATCTAGACGTCTTTAAGACGACATAATGTTGTGTGGGAACGTTCTGAAAATTTAGACCTAGTGACAACTATTAAAAGTGACTGCCCTGCACTCTAGTGGCAAAATAAGAAAGCTAAAAAGCGTTCCAGCTACAAGTCGACACTGTGTAACACTGTGTCACACAGTGTATCACTGTGTTACCATAGCTGGAAAGCACCCATTATGTTTTACAGACTCTATCGCCAGAACACAAGCGAACAGATGGCTATGGTTCTGGTGTGAGATTCTGATGGAATCTGCTGACATTTTGCTTACTGAGTATATGTGTATTATGTGAAATTATAATAAAATATGAGTAGATAAATTAATGAAACAGATCTGTATCGTCTATGTGTCGTGTTTTCAATCAAATTAAGAATATATATATTAAATAAATAAATTGTTTTGATTAGTAGAAGTACGGATATTTGACCATAATATTTATTTCATCATGCAAATATTTTTAAAATTAAGACTATATAGGATGTGACAAACTGCAATGAGGTAATTTTTATTTTCTTAATTAGAGGAAAAATATAAAAAAATTTTTGAAAATATCCCTGATAAATAAGGAAAAACAGAGATTGTATCATTTTTAATTCATTGTACATTCCATATGGATTTGTAAAAATTAAAACATTATACACATACATGCTTAGTTTCGTAATATTTTAAAAATATGAGAAAATGTCCATGTTCTTTTACATCTAGATCAACATAGATAGTGAATTTATATAAATTTATCATACATAGATAAATTTATCATTACATAGATAGTGAATTTATATAAATTTATCGAATTGAAAAAAGCACTTAAGATGCAAAAGTATCAATCTTCATCATTAATTATTCTCTTTTATTATTAATCATTAATATTCTAAATAAGATTTAAAAAATCAGAAAAAGAAATTTATTACTGCTATGCTATATTTGAAAGGTTTATTCCTGCAAAGTGGGCGATTGGCCTCATGGACTGCATATACCTAAAGAATCCACGTTTACTAAAGTTCCCAGCTTAGAGAAAAAATATATCCTGGACATCGCATGCGGACATTGTCATTGTCTCGCTCTAACTAGTGATGGAAAGGTAAGTAAAAGATTAAACTACTACAACGACACATAACAGGCATTCTTATAAACTAAATAATTGTTTGTAATTTAGGTGTATACTTGGGGAGAAAATTATTGTGGGCAGATTGAGGACGGAAACATAGATACTTTTGATAGCGTGCCAAGGCAGGTGCATCATGAATTGGAAAAGAAGAATGTTGTCCATATCGCGTGTGGTTCAAAATTCAACGTGGTTATAACTGACGAAAACAAAATATATGGTTGGGGCAAGAATGATAAGGGCCAGATTTCAATCGTACAGTCTGAAAAATATTACGCTTACCCGCAAGAAATTATCACAATATCAGATAAAATAGGTAATTTTTTTTGTCTAAGATTTTATCTCTACTGCCCGGTTGTATCAACGTTATTTTAACTTTCAGCGAGACTTAAATATATGTCTACTTTTATCTTTCTCTCTAAATAAATAAAAACAGACATATATATTAAATTATATTTAAGTTTAACTTAAAACTAAAATGTTGGTGCAACCGGGCCTAAGATTATTGCATTATCAAACGTCCTCAGGATGAGATGGAAATCGATGTTTCAGTTAAGGTGACCTGCGGATATGATCATACGTTAGCGCTGACAAATAAAGGAGAGATCTATGCCTGGGGCGATAACATTTACGGACAAATCGGCGTTAATAAAAAATTGAAACGTTCTGGTCCGATTATGGTAACTTATGAATTATTGATGAAAAACTTTTTAATAATTGCCATGATGAGTGGGATGAGAAACAAAATAATAAGGAAAGATACGATCGACAGGTGAACGTGCCCGAGATGGGAAAGGTTTTGGATATCGCTGCTTTTGGTGATTTGAGCGTTGCCGTTGGCTATGATAGGATTATTTATATATGGGGTAACTTTTACTTCGAGCGTGTTTTCAATCAAATTAATATCCCGTTTCCTACGAAGTTTTCGACAATTCACGACGTGTTTGCGTACAGTGACTTGAAAATCATGCACAAGCCATTGATTGTGTTTACGAATATTGAAGAAGTATTGAATATATTGGAGTCTGTAGGAATAGCATTTAATGATCCGGTACGTTTCCTATTATTGTTCTACATGTACTTTTTTGCATTATATAGAAAAACTAAATATATATAATATTTTCTTATATTTGGTTGGTATAAAAGAATATAGAGATTTATATAAGAGATTTGTAGATTTTGTAAAAAAAAAATTTAAAAAGTGAAAAATTACGTATTTTATATGATAATTTTTATATTAATCTGATATTATTAAACTATTATTTAATAATTTTTATTTTTCAGTTAACGAGCGATTTTATCATACAAGTTAAAGGACAATCTATTTATGTTCACAAGTTTATACTTAGGATTCGTTGCAAATATTTCAAAAAGATGTTTCATGATTGGTCTGAAAATATTCAAAGGTAAATTTAGAAAAAAAAACTGGTACTTGAGAATTTTTCAATTTTAGTTATTACATAATGTCACATTGTTTCTTGACAGTAAATCTGCTTCATCAATGTTCACTGTACCGGATAAATTTTCTTACATCGTTTATAAAGCCTTCTTACAATATTTATATACCGGCACAATCGATTTACCTTCGGAAATCGTATTAGGTAATTGAAGCTGTAAACGTAAACTATTACGAATTTACAATTCAAATACTGCAATGACACTTTTTTTACAGAACTTCTGGAATTAGCCAACATGTATTGTGAAACAAATCTTATAAAAGATTGCAGTCAAATAATAAAAAAAGCTATCACTGTGTCAAATGTAACTTTCTTCTACAATAAAGCGATCGAATGCAATGCTAAGGTAAGTTTGAGATTAATCGGTATTAATATTGGAATTCATTAATTACAATGTATTTATCTTATTATATGTATATCATGTCGAATATATAATGTGACTTTTAGGAACTTGAGGAATTTTGTTTCCAATTCGCTTTGCGTCACAGAGTAGTACCAGAAGGTTATATTAATATTATATTCAGAAGATCATATTAAGTTAGATATAAATACGAAGGATAATTTTATGCGCACAGCAGAAAATGCTTTCAAAGCTTAAACTTTAAAAGGCGTAATTCTTTTGATATAAATTTTGAATTAAATCACCGATTGCATCCAATAATAAAGTAAACCTTGTTCCAGTTATCATTCTATAGTGTAATATTACATAATATATAAATATTAATTTTAAACAGTATTTTAAATAGTAATTTTATCTAATAATTTTATTTATCAATGGAGATATTTATATAATTCATTCAACTCTTAAATAATAAATATTGATATTATCAAAAGATATCGTTTTAATATTATCATGAGAAAGAATCACATTAAAAATCTTCGTTTTCTTACTTAACAAGGAAACAGAAAAATGTTTACATCAATTGTCATGTTTCCGGAGCCAGTCTGGCAGTTTATATCATTTCAGACCGGTGTCATATGTTATACAAGTTATTATCGGTATTTTTTTATAATTAAAAATTATCGCTATCCAATAGCAAGCTATGTTTTATAGCGAGAAATATATTACTATTACAGTTTCTAGGAAACAAATTCTTTTATTAGACATTGCATCTATGGAGAAGAATCATTGTTTGCAATGTAAATTCACCTTAAGTACATGTAACGCCCTCTAAATTATTTATGTTTTCATACACACCTGAGTCAGGTGAGGTTAGATGCATTTGTGACATATATATATATATATATATATATATATATATATATATATATAAATGTTTTGTATAAGTGGTCGTGCATTTCTCACATGTCTCAAGACAGAATTATCTATATGACAGCTTATTTCATTCACAGAATTATTTTTGACATTCATTACATAATATAAAATATGTTTGTGTGAGCATAAACATAGAGAAATGTACATTTCTTTTATATATGTTTTATTACATGATATATAATAATTCAACTATTTTAATGTTATGTAATAATAATTCAATCAAATTAATATTACACGAAATTTAATTCTACAACAGGAAAAAATAAAGAATAATTTTTATAGAATAAATACATATTTTTTTATTAAAAAAAAATATATGTATATTTAATATTATTATTATATATTTATGTGACATTTATAACAACTTATTTATTCATGTGGCATTTACGTATAATATAAAACCAAGCAAAAAATGTTTGGACTTCGTCCAATGCATTCAAGAATCGTAATGAGACAGGTCGTTACCTGCGTCGTGAAATCAGGCTAAGGTAATAAAGGTGAAAGGTCAAAGGCAACGGGCTAGCGCGGATATCGACCCGGGTGAGATCGAGAAGGCGAGGTAACCCGGTTACAGTCGGGGTAGCGAATAGGCGCGAAAGCAGGTTGTCCTAGAATTCGACTTTGGCGTTTCCGCACACGCGCGCTGTTTAACAAAACACTCACCCCTAAAAGGACTCTGCCTAAACAAGCCGAACCCTTTCCCCCACCTCGTTTCTCAAGAGGCGGTTTCCGTCGATCCTAAATTCGCCCTAAGTACCTGGAATTATTAAGAATATATAGACATTGTATAATAGTCTGATAAATATGCATATCGATAGATATAATCGCATATATGCATTTGCCAGTATAATAATATAATAAGCGAGTTTTCACGATAGGTCCGAATACAAATTAACAGAATCTTGAAAGAAAATATGATGAAAGAGAAACGATAATAGAAATACTATGTAAATTTCAAACATATCTTTGAAAAATGCCCTTTTTTTTAAATTCCTTCATGACATCTTTCAAATATTTGTATTATGTGAAAAAATTGTGTAAAAAAATGAAATTATCACACAAGTTGTTATAAATGTGCATTTTATATATATATATATATATATATATATATATATATATATATATTAGAAAAAAAATTATTTATACATATTGTTAACAAATATTATTATATTAATATTTTATCATTTTGTTTGAAATATGTATATATATATATATATATATATATATATATATATATATATACATACATATTTCAAACAAAATGATAAAATATTGATATAATAATATTCGTTAACAATATGTATAAATAATTCTTTTTCTAATATATATGTTTATTTTTTTCTGCAGCCCACAAATATCTCCTTTCCGTTGATGCGACACGTTTCGGCGAATGCATAGACGATACCTTAAAGAGTGCGGTGAAAGTGACGGGTCAGCTGCTATTGTGTTCGCATCTCGATTCCTAGACTCGGCCCTGCGCGTAGGGGTGCGCGCGCCTCCACCGACGGTAGGAAGGATGAAGGAGAAAGAGACGGAGAGAAAGGGTGAAAAGGAGACGGGGTGAGCAGAGACGCGCGTGCGGAGCGGCTGTCTACGGCTAGCTCAGCAGCCGTCAGTCGGTGATCGCACGTTCGTTCGGGGGTGACAGGTGCGTCTATATACGCGAGGAGGGCAATGGAGGCTTCGTGCGCCTCCTTGGCGATCGAGTGAGACACGCCATTCGATGAATCCCAACGTTGCTCCGTATCGTCCCTCGTGAGAGTGACACGGACGAAACAGAGAGCAGCACGAGAAAGAGGGACTCGAGAAATGACATACCACTGTTTATTGTGAACGAATCGAGGAAACAAGGGAGAGAGAGAGAGAGAGAGAGGAGGAAGGAGGAAGAGAGAGAAAAAGGGGGTTGAACACAGTGGCGGTACCTCTCTCTTTTTCTCGAGTTGTCGGTACGCGCAGTCGTTTTTTGATGTTGTTGGCTGGCTTGATGCCTGTTTCTTTTTTTTGTTTGCTATATATATTGCTGTTGCTGCCGCCGTTGAAGCCGCCGTCTGCTGCTGCAGCGGTCGCTAGCGAATTAAAAAAAAAAAAAGAGAGAAAAGATATACGTTGAAGCCTTTTCATTGTCTCGTCGTTGTTTGATTTTCGTTGCCCTTAGACTCCGCCACCCTGTAAAAAAAAAAAGAAAAGAAATTTTCATCTCTGTCGTAAGAGAATGATGCGAGAAAGAAAAAAAAATTACATCTCTCGGGGGCCACCAGTCAGCCTTTGTAACTTTGTTTTTTATCACGAGTAGATGATATATCAGAGTAGGTCACTCGTCTTCTGATATCTCTTGCGTGTTGTACCGGACTTTCTTGGTCCCACGAATGTCCGCATCGCAGACTATCGCGTTAAATGCGCTCCTGTCTATATATCTTGATGCACGCACGTCTATGCATGTCTATGCTTATTCGCTTAGACACGATTAATGCTTATCATCCGACTCATCTGTCATACATTTTTAATCACCGTATATCGTAGTCCCTTTTTCTGAATATTTTCAAATTCTCTTTCAATTCTCGTCTGACAACTGACTTTCAATGTAAATAATGTAAATAATTTCTGGATTCAAGTAATCGTGAAGAAAAATCATATTTTGCACGGACACTATATATACAAACTTCATTTTCCCGTGATTCTGTTCTCGATGCCTTTTTTCAATGCAATGGAAGCTTGCAGTGTGTAGTCGAGCACTTTTAACATAAATGTATAAATATGAACAAACAGAAATTGCTTTCCGCTTTTTCAAGATGTTATGAACATTAATAATATTGCATATGTATAATAATTCAATTATTATAATCTTTGTTTAAAAAAACTGCAGTTGCTTCGCGTTATGAGATTTTATCAATAGACATATATGATATTATTGATGCATTAAGTTATCTCAAGATCGCTTTCTCTCGATAATGTGATACTGCAGTGAATCTTATTAAATCATTACCATTCCAAATGAAATTTTAAAATATTTCAAATCAATTTTATGAAATATTTATAATTATTTTCTTAAATTTAATTAAATGAAAGGATTATTATTTTATACAACATTAAAAGAAATTCATAATTTTATGAAAAATTCTTTTCTATACACACAGACATATATCAATTATACGCGCGTAGAGAATTTTCTTATGTTAGAATTATAAATATAGCAAATTAGATGTAAATTAAATGCAACTTTCCTTGCTTTGCTTTAAGGAATTCAAAACAAATAAAAAGCCAGAGCAATACATATTCGTGACTATTCTATATATTCTATATAAAGAAATTATGTTAAGGAAAAATCATTATTCTGAACTTGTTGCTATTTTTCATTTATTATTGAAACATACTTTATTGATATATATCTTGCTAGGATCTTCATTTTTAAATATGTTTTCTCTGGCAACATGCAATTGCTTGCTACATGCATCATAGTATTCATATGTATACTTACTTTTTTAATATCAATAACAGCGAACGCATAAGCGAAGTGTTTATATAACAAAAATTATGTAGATTAAAAATTTTTAATCACATTTTGAGATTGAATTAAATGGCATTAAAATCTATTCCCAGAGAATCTTCAAAATTTACATGATAAACAGTGATTGGAAATCATTGCAATATATCTACTGTATAATATAGAATGTTTGAATTTTATAACTCGTTAATATTTCAATTCACGTAAATATTGCTTTTCAAGTAAATATTTTCTTTTTCCCAATTTTTCTTTCTCCATTTTTCCAATATTTAAATATACGTTTATTGCGTTTTAAATGCAAAATGCGCATAAATAAATATATTTGAAAAAAAAAGAATGGAAATTGATATATTGTAAAAAATTGACACGTAGTTTGCGTGATTCGGATTCTTTGAAAATTATCGTATATCGGAACGAGCTATGTATATTGAAGACAAACGTGACAACTTACTGTCTGTGGCGAGTAGCCGAGAAAATAATGCGTTACGCGTTCGCTGATTAGCGGCGATTCTATTCAACGTAAAATGAATCGCTTTTAATGTGCTTGTCGCATAGCGATTTAGAGACGTAGACCGTTAACGACGGGCGCCAGAACGGGCGGAGCTCCGTCACGTTTCTTGCCTTTCCAGAGAGGCAAAGGAAAAAGTGAGAGAAAGAGAGACAGAGAAAGAGAGAGGGAGAAAAAAAGGAGAAAGAAGGTGGCAAAGAGAAATTCTCCCGGGAATAAGGAGCGTGTGGGCATGCCTGACATGACACGGACCCATCGTCGGCGCATCATGCGACCATGCGAATGTAACTCGTAACAGGAACGGGGCTGTTTTGAGACGGGAAGAGAAGAAGCGACTGGGCAACTCGCGGAGCGATGTATGCCGCGGCAGGAGGTGCCAGCATCGCCAACCGGAGGAAGCAGAAGAAGCTGCAGCTTAACAAGCAAACGCCGGCCCATGTCGTTCCGCCAAGACTGAAGAGCGTACCCCCTGGCTCGCGTCATCACCAACAGCAGCAGCATTATCAGCACCACCAGCATCAGCATCAGCACCAGCACCAGCACCACCATCCGTACCATCATCATCATCACCATCACCATCACCACCCCCCGAGCAAGCTCGCCGCCACCCGTCAGCAAGTCCCGCGAACGCAACAAGCGCTGACGTCGACGTCTTCGTCGTCCGCCGCGTTTCACCCGGGCATCGATGATCGACGTCGTCACGCCACCGATCACCACAAGTCCCGCCAGCAGCAGCAGGTCCCGCCGGTCTCGCCGATCCAGTTCCCGATCTCGCCACCCCCGCTTTCCCTCGAGTCCTCGACGTCCGCCACCACCTATCCGGCCAACAACAAGTCCAGCAAGTTTCCCTTTCCGCCGTCCTCGGTCCTCGATCTCCGAGTATCGCCTCCTACTTCGGAGCTACAGGTGGGTATATCGTTGAGCACTCTCTCCTCATAATCTCAGCCTCTTCCGGCCAGCTCACGCTGTTTCTCTTAGTCGCTCTCTATCGCCCGATTCTTTATCACCTTTCATATCTTACATATAGTTTACGCGTATTTACATACGCGCCTAGGAATCACGCAAAGTGAAGTAAACGCCACACAGTGCGCGCATTAGGTAGAGAAAACTGTTGAATTTGTAACATGACTTAAGTTCAGCAAGTATACAAAATTATGATATATTTAAAGAATCTTTATAATTTCTTTAAATACTTACGTTATTTGTGTTAATTGTTTTTATTGTGCGCAGTCGGCGAACCTCGTTTTTCATATCAAATTTCATTGTTTTTGTTAAACTTGCAAAGTCTCTAGCATATATTATATCAGTTCCTGAAATTGGCTGAAATTTATTTAATAAAGATTTACTTTTTTAAACAGTGTCTTTTTTTTATCATCCAAAATTTCAATAGAAAAGTCCATTTTAATCTTCCCTTCAGTTTTATACATGTACATTGATTGAAAATTCGATTAGAAACCTGGCAGCCGTTATCTCTGCCAAGTGCACGATCGCATTGACGAATTAGATAAACGAAGATTATGAACTCATTCTATCGCTTTAGCGCGATTCACACCTCGCTCGAAGCGTATATTTCTTCTGGTTGCACCACACATCTCTCTTGCCACCTCTTGCAACGTATATAGCAAATAGCATCGATCGGCTGTCTGGTGGCGTACAACACGCGAGTAAATCTGTCGAATGGTGTAAGAAAGGCATGACAGATTCTACAAGTCCAAATATCTCTTCAGGGTCCTAGGTCGGCTAAAGGCTCCGCAATGTAATTTCAGTATAGCGTGAAACATGCCCCTCGTAATTATCGTCTTGGGCGAGCATGAGCAACGATCGATGCCGACGTCGGGTAGCACGACGTTAGATGTATATCGTTGCGTTCGATACCGTCCGGGATCGATGATGGATAATCTCTGAGGTGGACTCCAAAAAGATAGCTTCTCCTTATCCTGTATCGAGGATAAAAGAGAGAGAGAGAGAAAAAGAGAGAAAGAGAAAAAAAAATCGGCAATTATTAAGGGGGTTGACAAAATTTCGGTACAACTGAATAAGCGGAATGCAGGCTGCTCTATTGATTAGACGAACACAGCGAGAGAAACACCGAATACGGGGTGGTAAGGTGGTGAATTTTAGAGAATTACCTTCCAACTTCGCCACCAGACTCATTCCGCCGCTACCACGATATCCCCCACGATCTTACGTGTATGGGGTAAGTATCAAGAGTCACGGCCGCGTCGAAAAGCAATCGTGATCCCTTCGCGTGAGCGTAAATTAACAGTCACGTTGTAAATTAATAGTCACGCATTCCTTCCGTGGATCAGCATCTACAACGGAACCAGTTATAGATTAGAATCTGTCGCTATGAATCCTACGAATTCTATCGATCGTATATATGCATACATATTTCATCGATCAATATTTCTTTCTGCCGATAAACGGTGAAATCAATCGAGCGATTTCGAGGATCCAATGAATATGCATTATCAATCGATCTTAGAAAACATTCTATCATTTCTATCAGACTATCATTTCTAACTGAAATAATTTAATATTTATTCATATTATTTATTACATGTTCATTTTGTATTCATACAATATCTCAAGGTATATTGTCAATTTTCAAAGAAACTATAAATGATAAAGGATTTTAAATATCGATTGTCAAATCTAGAATATCGAATATTCAATTTTTTTAAAAAGAATTTAAATGGAATTTTTTTTATCGTCCAATTTAAAATTACTTATGGTACATAATAAATTGAACTGTTATAAAAAAATATGTAGCAATTCGATTTCATTGATTAATCACATTAAGCATCAAGATCATGCCATTCACATTGGTCTTAATAAATTGGTTTGTAACGTGTAACGATATGCCTGAGAATTACATATTTCAGTGCGGCGGTCAAGGACCTGGCGGTAAGGCAGCATGGCAGGGATGCAACAGACCTTCGCCTCTTCCCTTATCTCCTACGTCACCCGAATATCGAGATGGTTACAACAAAACAAAGCAATGCGAAGCACATCGGCGATGGATGAAAAGAAACAGGGTAATTTCGTCAATGGTTTCTAGATTATGCAGTTTATAGCATCTTTCTATATTAGGTACATTAGAGCAGTAGGTTCTAAAGGGTCTTCAGGTTCTAAAAGGTCTTCAGGTTCTAAAGGGTCTTCAGATTCTAAAACAAAGAGAGAATTATTTTTATTTAGTAAAAAAAAAAAAACATATATTAATATATTTATACTTGTATGTGTTTTATTCTAATATTATAATTATGCATATTGGTATTTTTTGTACACAAAATATCAATGAAATTGATAAATTGTAATTTCTTTGATTATTTAAAGAAAATATCACATATGTATTTCTTCATTTCTTTTTAAAATAAAATTATAATTTCATCATACTTTTTAATATTTTTTAGTATTTGTTAAATATTACATAATATTAAACATTAATTAAGAAACAAAAATAAAATATTCTTCAAGATGTAGGATTTTGCAAAATCATAATCAATACATATGTCATTTTAAACGAAATACATAATAATACATCTGCTAATAGAAAATTAAGTCTATCGCGGGATCGCGTGTGCTTTAGATAAGAGACGCCAGTTATTGTTATGGGAGCAGCGACGACGAGGAAGATGACAGCAGTAACGCCATACGACAGAGGGGAGAGGTCAGCGCGGCGGTCAACACCGTGCTCTACGTGGGTTTAGGGACCACTGCGCTCGGTTTAGTTATCTCGTTCGTCGGCACCGGTGAGAAGGGTTTCCTAAGCCCACAGCTGAGACTGGTCGGCCCGTCGCTCTTGTGCGCCGGATTGCTGTGCTGCCTATTTCGCGTGCTGCTGTGCCTCTGCCTGTGTCGCTGCGGCCAGTGCCGCTGGCAGTTCTGCCAGGTCGCCTCGCACAAGAAGGAGAAGGCGAGGAAAGCGGACATGAGACCGGGAACGTTATCGACCGCTTCGCTGTTGCCGCCGACGCAGCAGGAACGACCGATCGCGCCCACCAGCCGCTCCGTGTCACCGGCGACGAAGGGACACGAGCTCCTCCTCTCACCTGCCCAATTGCCAGAGTGAAAGGACAACGCAACGCGCGCCACGAACGTTTTTTACGAATGAATTCTATATACTATATACGCCGATTTACTGCCGGTTCTTGCCCAATTATTCGACTCTAGTTTCCGTTGCGGCTTGAACCGCAAATTCTCGCAGCCTAAACATACGAGTAGTCTAAACATGCGTCTTTAGATCTTAAACAATAGCTAAATAAAGAAATCGGCTACGTTTTTCTATCCTTGTCGTATTGTCGAGTAAGTAAAGAAGCCATCACTGTCGCCCGGATATCTTTCTTCAGTCTCCTGGTTTATTTACGCTCATACTTACAAGTTGCTTTTTTACAAAGGTACATAAAGTTATTTTAATTCGCGATTACTAATTTCGGTTTCTCGACCGAATCTTATAATCATACTTAACGTTAAAACTTAAAATATACTTTGTTGCCTACATATCGCTAGGCAAAGAACGTTTGTTTTTCCCACAAAATTAATCTGTGCGCATTCGTTTTTACGATCTGTTTCACAAATCACACAGTGTGTCTTAGAACAAATACATTATATCGAAATCACTTTAATTCCCAATGATCAGGAAAGTTGAAATTGCATCTGCTCATTGGACGAGTAACTATAAATGACAGAGGTGTCAGCGCTGGTTACGCTCGATGCTGTCGCGGTAATGGCAAATAATTGATCTTCATACATGCCTTGCGGCTCTGACTTTCCATTGCCAGTTGTAGCTCCAGTATTGGGAGGATTGTCACCTTTTGTTGCCTCACGATATTTTTGCAGATACATTTTCAAAGGCTCGACATAATTATCAAAACCAAGAGTAGTCATGGCAAATAAAATGTCTTCACCATTTATAGTTTTACGTTTTTCCATGTGACACCTGTCACTCGCTTCCGACGTGATAAATGAGATGAACTCTGACACGCACTCTTGAACACATTCACGCGCATCTTTAGCTATTTTTCCAGCTTCTGGAATCGCTCTTTTCATAATTTTGGCGACATTTGCTATCGGCAAGAAGCGATCCTGCTCACGAAGTGGCCCACCCCCAGTGGAAACCCCAGGACTTTGCAAGGGATCTCCAGTACCATGGTTGGAATCATCCGTATTCTCAGGGTCATCTGTGTAAAAGCATTCGTTAATACTCATACATCATTTTACAATTCAAAACATTTAATTTCCAATTTGACTCGCAATGATTTGCAAAGGTGCAACAATATATGTATAAATATTACAAGAATATCAAACTTTTAATAAATTATACATGGTTAGTACATTTTTACTCTCCCACTTCTATAGCAATAATATTAATAATTCAAATATAATTGACAAAAGTTCAACACGGCTAGTATATTGACAAGTTTATCAACAGACGAAATAGAAATTGTCGCAAAACTTTGGCAAACGAAAGATAAAGATACGAAACACAATTACATATGTGATTGAAATTAGAATATAATGAAATAAAATAAAATTAAAATTAAATTAAAATATAATAAAATGAAATAAAATTAAATTAAAATATAGTAAAATGAAATAAAATAAAATTAAAATATAATAAAATGAAATAAAATTAAATTAAAATATATAAACACATCTTGCGTAGGCTGAGGAACGACGTGTATTTCGAGGGAAAGACGCAACGTACAGGTTAAAAAAATAATGGCAGAATTCAAATACTCGACAACGTGCTTCAGAATTTTGCAAATATTGCGACGACAAGATACGTTAGCCTACCTTCCATATCCGATTGTCCGCCTATGTAAGACGCCGCGACGGTACCTCCTCCCAGAAACGCCGTTGATCCCAAGGGGTCGTCTCCGCTCTCACCACTATTCTCCATTTCGCGATACAGTTCCCGGTGATAATACGTGCTCAAGCTGATTCGAACACTTGGCGTGATTTTTCTGCTCCTTTAACCTTTTCTTATCTTTGTTTTTCTTGCCGCCGTAAGCTGCAAAGAATCACTTAACGTGTATATAAATATATGTATATGTATATATGACGGTCAGAGAAAAGAGAATACACGAATGCAGCAAGAAGCGAATAATATGGTAGACTTCCGTTTTGTATCCATTATTTCCGGAAGAGATGGCGATGCGTTATTCCCTAGCGTTATTCCCTGCTTGTGGAGACTTTAATCGACCAATCAGGACAAAAGAAATAAAAATTTTCTTTATTCTGATTGGTCGAAAAAATACTTGATCCCACGGGTGAGATTTTCGAATGCATTCTTGTAGGACGGAAAAAAGGAATTGGACCAATTAGAATCAAGAAATCTATTAAATGCAAATTCGAAGCGTTGGAACTATCCAGATAAATTTGCACAGATGCATAAAGAAATTAATCAATCAGGACAAAAGAAATAAAAATTTTCTTTATCCTGATTGGTCAAAAAAATACTTGATTCCACGGGTGAGATTTTCGAACGCATTCTTGTAGGACGGAAAAAAGGATAGGAATTGGACCAATTAGAATCAAGAAATCTTTTAAATGCAAATTCGAAGCGTTGGAACTATCCAGATAAATATGCACAGATGCAAAGAAATTAATCAATCAAGTGTCTACTGTATGGAACACCGTACACTATTACTATCAGATAATGATTGATTTTTCCTGCATTTTTCTTGGTATACACATGATGCCTCATTAGCTTATGCTTGCAAATTTGTCTAGATAATCTCGTATCAGATTGCGCAGTAAAGATTAAAGATTGGAATTGAAGCGCAGAATTTGAGTGTAGGAAGTGCAAACAAAACAAACAGATTTATTTGAAATGTCAAGTAAGATTTATCTCTGATTTCGTGTCCAAAGGCTCCCGCAGATAAAATGATAACGAATCTGACTATCATATCGCACTTTCGAACAAGGTATAATGTGTACATATTTTTTTGTGAATAAGAGAAGAATTTCATTTTGCAGTTTGACAGAATCGAGGGAGAGCCAGAATAAAAGGATAGACGGATTTCTAACGTGTACATACGACTTTTCTAGGAATCCACCAATCTGCGCCGACGTGACGTCACAGAATGACAACCTGATCGGCGAGTGTTGTCAAGTTTTGCTGTGTGTATAGAATTTGATTATACGCATCAGCGAGTTATCGCGTAATCCTTTCTCTCCCGGTCGTGTGTCTCGCGCGTTCAACTGACATTGAAAATATTCCGCGATAAGTGCCGCCGTGCGTTCACCAATGTTGCAATGATGCAGAAGCGCGTCATGTATGGCGACGCGCGGAAACTGTGCGAGAGACAAACGCAATTGGCCCCGTACGGGCCCTGCCTCGCGTCAGACTAACGCTCAATGGCTTTATTCGAGAAGAGATACACGAATAAAGTGTTGTTAGATGATACGGAGCAGCTGACTAGCGTCATCGAAAATGCGAGGACCATCGACGGGCATACGGTACTAGATCTCCTCTCTCTCTCCTCTGTAATCAAGTCTGATTACAGAAAGTTTTATTTAATCAACGTGATACGGATATAAGAATCCTTGTTATTACTTTTTCCTTATAGTGGTCGTACTTTGTCATTTTAACGTTGCATTCGTTTTGTATGCGCAAATCAAGTTGAAATACTCTATCTGTCACAATCATATATCTTCTGACTTTGTTTTTGGATATAACCATATTTATTATTGACCTGAGATGTATAATGAAAATTCTGATGCATATTTAGGAATACGTAATCAAAACACAGAGAGGTCCGCTTCCTGAAAGATCTTGGAGAGTGAGCAGACGTTACAATGACTTTGTACAGCTCAATGCAACTTTATCTATATCTGGCTTCGATTTGCCACTACCACCAAAAAGAATTATTGGTAATATGGAGCCAGACTTTATAGCTCAGAGACAAATAGCACTGCAGGTTTATCATCATAATATAACATACACTTTTTAATATACTATACTTGTGCAATGCAATAAATAAAAGATTTATTTCTTATCTCTTTTTTTCTAGAATTATCTAAACATAGTACTAATGAATCCTATACTGGCATCTTCACTTCCTATGAAAAAGTTTTTAGACCCTGAGAATTATACAGCACCATTACATGGTAAGCTTATTTCTCATAAAGATGATCATGAAATATTTTAAACATTATATTTAGACATAATAATTAATGTCTTAATGATTATATTATAAACTTTTTCTTTCTAAATATTATACAGTTTTATATATATTCAGTTCTAGAGATATATTAAATACATGTTTGCATGTGCAAAATATTTATATGTTTATATGTAAAAAATATTTACATGTTTTACAGAAATCGCGTTACAACAAGTGTCATTAGCATTAAGGAGCGACGCCAATTTTGAAGTATGCAAACCTATCCCTGATATGGGTTGGCGATTGAGAAAACATTATTATACAGTAAAAAATCGTCAGAATCCAAAACAAGAACTCTTGTTAGCTTGGGTGGAATTTGGTCCTGATAAACATTTGCAAGATAAAGATATACAAGGAGTTTTCAAGACTTTGGGCTCTCTACGACACACTTACATCGAACCAATGGTACATCAACATGTTACAGACAATGGGGCACTAACGATAAGAAATTTCTATCCAATGGGCACATTACGTGATATTCTGTGTGTCACTAAACCTAAACAGCCATTTATAAAGAAATATGGAAATCCAAAACAAATAAAATCATTGACTACTCAAGAAGTCGCGACGTATGGTTATCAGGTATGGTTAAAAATTATTACGTAAGAATCACATTGTAATATGACATTTAAAACGATCATTCTTTGCATAATAATATTGAATTTGTAGATATTGGAGGCTCTAGGATTTCTTCATGAGAAGGGATTACCTTATGGACATTTACATACCGGCAATGTCCTTTTAACCCCAAGATGTGCTAAATTATTAGATATAGAAAATGGACTTTTAGGATTACCAGCATTTTACCGGCCTTATGTAGTGCAAAGGCGTAAATTACATGCTACGGTAATATTAATAGTGATCAATATATAAAATATTTTGTAATTGATGGTACAACTAAGTTAAAAAAAATAAAGATATAATTTTTTAATTTTTAAAGTCATTTATATCTCAAAAAGTTATGGATAAAAAAATTTTGTTTAAATCATCTTAAGTTTGTCACCCAAAATTATTAGCCCTTCTTCTATACAAGGTTATATTTTCTATATAAACGTTTTCTCGCATTTAGAAAATTTACATGTTTTGATATATTTTCTTAACAGACTCAGGTTGATGTATACTCATTTGGACATGTTTTGTATGAGATGGCATTTGGACGACCGCTTTTGGAAGCGACATGTTCTGAACTGCCACATTGCGAAGCAAACCTGAAAAATTTGTTAGAAGTTATATTATCACCAGAAGCTCTAAAACAAGATTTGCCAACAGTGACTCGATTATTGGAACATCCATTTTTCGAATCGACAAGACGCGCTACTTTGGCTATTGGCGCTGTGGAAAAACCATATTTCAAATTGAGCAACCATTTGAAGGAAGCCTTGCAAGAAGCTGTAAACAAAGCTGAACAGCGATTGCGTGATGAACAGAAAGTCGCCCGGCACCAGAAGAGGCTCGTCAAAGTTCAAGAAATGATGAGCTCTGAAGAAGAGATGAAAAAACGAAAGCACAAATTGGTGAGTATATAATAAAGGAAAAAAGGAAGTTTATAGAATAAAAAATAACGATCGAGATAGCATCTCATTTCGATTACTATATATTGCAGAAGAAAGAACAGAAATTGGCGCAGGAACAACGCTCTGCATCACAGCTGGGAACAAATGGGACAAAACAAATAAATGGTAAGAGTCCAGAACGCTCGGACAGTCCGACAAGTACATCTACAGCTACCAGCGTTGGAACGTTGACTCCTCCATCGCTTCGTAAGTCTTTATAACGCTTCTCATTGCTACCGTCATTGATGCTAATTGACATTTACGTTTCTACATCTCTTGATTAGCTGGGCACAAAAGTTGATGGCGCGTACTGAGGTCATTCCTTTCACGTAGGTCATTCGAGCATTCAGGTCTCCTTAATGTCTAACAACTTTTCATAATTATTCTCTCATCTTTATTTTGTAGAATTTTTCCTCATTGTTGCTTTGCAGGTTTTCTCCGATCTAAGATGTATTCTTGCAATTTGAGAATTACTCGTAGCTTATCTTGTGTGTTATTTTCAGATTTTTCAATGTTGTTTGTAATGTATAATTGTCATATACATATGTATGGTTAGTTGCATATCTCCATTTTCTTGAAGAGATGAATTAGACAAATCTTTCTTGAATTTCCTAGAACAAAATGTATGTTTATGCTGTGAAATCTACTATATCGTTTTTCATTTTTTTTACTCAAGGCTCTGTAGATATTCCGCAAGGGGATGCAGTTCCTGGCAAAAGCGTTCCGCCACCACCTTCGTTACCGCCGCCGTCTGAAGCGTCTAGTGGTGTATCAAATAATGTACCAAAATCATCAAACAACCGTGCTGCTTTACTCGGTAGTATTTGCAATTTCGACAAGAATAGGCTGCGGAGGATCGCAAATGGTCATCGTTAGATAAATAGACAAAAGGTAATTAGATTAAGATTAAATAAACGAAGAGAGAAAAGGCAAATTTATTTCAAATCTAGTATGACTGCCATGCAACGTCAGATAAAAAACTTTGCTTGTGCTTGATTAGAACAGACAATGCACCTGTAGATTATATTATTACATTGAATTCAAAAATTGCCTGAATGATATAGCTGTGTCATGCTCCTCGTGACTCTTAATAAAATTGGAATAATTGTTTTGTTTCGATCGCGATACTTGTATTTTATAAATTTTTTAATATTATTTTAGTGTGCTCTTGATATATAATAAGACTCTAGCTTAAAGCAGTGTTATATTAAAGAGTAAAACGTATTAAATTTGTGATATAATCGATATTTGGCCTATGTTTTTTTATGAAATCTGATACAACGCTTGCTTCGTCTATAGACTTGCCGTCCAAGAACGAGCCTAAACATATACAGAACAACTAATCAAAATAACAAATGCTTTGAAAAATTGCCATCTATACGAATCTTATATTCCTCCCAAATTTGTATAAGAGCTACTCAAGCTTTCTCTTCTTAGAAATATTAATAGAATATAATAACAGGAACATGTAATTATATATTATCTAGTTAGTACAGAATGTATAGTAATTATGCTGGGAGCAATTTGAAACATTTTTAAAATTATTTTGATTGATAATATTATGTTTATACTTGAATTAAGAAGAATATGACCATATGAGAAATTGCACTTTCTAGTCCAACATCTCTCTCTCTTCTTTCTCTCTCTCTTTCTCTCTTCCATTTATATAACAATTAATAACATCATAGAACTTTGAATACATATTATTTATCATTGTGGGCCAAGTTTCGCGATCGATTTACATTTTATTATGGCTCGTCTTTCTCTTTTCGGATGTATATATCAAATTTGTTTAAATGCAAATAAGAAAAGATAGTGATACAATGGGGTGTGATAATACATGCATATATTAAATAAATTTCCTCTGGTTATACTCATCTACTGTTTTAACTATTCAAAGAGAGTTTATGATATATATAATATATATAAATACATATATACACATACTTTTCGTTTGTGTTTACACGGTAAAATGCGAGGATCATACGCCGCTTTTGTATCGCTCGTGAAATTGGAACGTCTAGTTTTACGAATTAAAAACGTGCCAAGGGATATATGATCTTCGTATTTTTGATGCGAATAATGCGATATCAATAGTAGACTATATAGAATGTAATCTATTTCTGTATGTTGTGAACAAGTATGTATCTCGTATAAATCCATATATCTGTGGATATAACAAAAAATTGTAACATATATAATCACATCTTTTAATACACTTATCACTGTTTTAGATGTATATGGCAACTGTGTAATTATGATCAAATATGATCTCTAGTACAGATGATTATAATAATAAGAACGTATAATGAAATATTTATATTTGCTCTTTAAAATTTATTATATTATATCTAGTTCTGAGAGAGAAAGGTTGCTTATATATTCGAGAGTATAAAAGGATAAACTTTTGTCCATGAAATTTTACATTCAACAAAATATTATGACCAGTCTGTTATCAGTCTGTTATTTGACTGTATCTTTCAAAAACAGATATATTAAAACAATGGATGATAGACAAAAAAGAAATATTCTTTTATGATAATACATTTTATTTATACATATATACATATATATATATAGCACTAAAAATCTATAAAATCTACAAAACTAGTGAATAACAAAGGCTCTTTAAGAGTTTCTTGTAAAAGGCATGAGCATTTTAAGCGTTACTTTAGACTTCCCTTTGCAGAATTGTTATATGCCTTACATTTGTAAACAGGTAATGTACATAGCAGAGAAACTATATAGAAACCTTACCTAGGGAAGGGAACAAAATTTTAATTTTACTAAAATAAGAGAAATGTCGAGTCAAATGATGAAACAAACAAGACAATTTTATTTCAGACGAAAGAGGCAAGTATTTTAATAATTGGTAACATATATATATATATATATATATATATATATATATATATATATATATTCAACAAGTATATATACATGTGTAAATTTATTATGTTTAAATAATCCCAAAATTTTGATAGCAGTCCATGTGTATAGTATAAAAGTATGTGTATAACTTTGTGTGTATATATATATATATATATATATATATATATATATATATATATATATACACATACATACACACACACACACACACCCCCACGGGAACGTGGTATAGATATGCGATTGTCATGATAACAGAGCTATTGTAACGACTTAAATATATCACAATAAATATCTAAAAAAAGAAAAAAACAACCATCCATCAACGAATACATTGTCTTTTTCACGAATTATTAAACGACATAATATAAAATCATTTCCCGTCTATATTGCATCTGTATAATTAGGCTTTATGCAGATTTACCATAACAAAAGTGGTATGAACCTCTTCTAATGTACAAGATACGCCATATATTATAATGTTTGTTTTTCTTAACTGCGAATGCGAGCATTAATACGCATTTCTAATAAAACAAATATAAATCGATTAATTGGCACGGTGCTTGAGAGCGAGAAGCATATAATCAATAATGGCCAGATATGCGTTTTATTTCCCACTAATAGTGATACCTTAAACCGTCTTTGAAAATACAATAATGAATGAGGTACTGGCACGGTTTTTGCAGTTATGTTATTAAATTGGTTATATTACGCAATCTTTGCTTGTACTATCAAAACTTTTATTGAGAATTATCGTAAAATCGTGATAATATTACGATTATTCGTACTATGTACATATATTTTATATGTATAAGTATATATATATATAAATATATATATGTAATATATTTATACGTATAATACAATATACATATATATACATAATTATATATTTAATTTTATAATAATTTATATGTATCATAAAAGACGATACATTGTTCGAGAATATGCAACTCTCCAAAGAATTATATGTGCAGCATGTATCATTTGTGCACATTTTCTTAGTTATAAACTTCTGACAAAGTTGCAGTCAGTTTGCTACTAATACTTATTTAATTATCTCTCTATCATATGTGATTTTAAAATTGAACGTGTCGTCCGCGAAATCAATAAAAATTATAAATAAAATTCATCCTTATTAATAAGTGTCCTTAAAGAAGAGAAGCTAAATTTTACAAACTTTTCTATTAAAGAATAGTTAATTCTATATTTATGAGATGTATACAATTGGAAGCAAGTATATAATTTTTGATACATTCTCTACATGTATCTCAAGTAGGCTTTCGGAGAGTTACGAGAAGAATAACGACGAAAACGTCGCAGAATGACTCATTACAATTACATACAATCGATGCTTACGTTAACTGATAATCAATATTGTCAAAAAAATACTACTTACAATATGAATACAATGCTTTAAAAAAAAGGAAACCGATTCCGTATAGATCGTGCACATACAAATCTCACTTCTTTTGATCACGCAAACAATCATCTCTTTATATTTTTGGCAAATGAAGGCTAGATAGTGGGATGACGGAAAAAAAATCGTCTTCGTCATAACTTTGCGTGGAGCTTTTCCGTTGCTGCCTTCAATCTGAAAGTGTTTAAATATTTTTTTTTGCGTTCTTTACTATTGTTTCTTCTTTACTTCATAATGCTCGCGAAATATGAAGATTTTAGCATAGCTTTACCTTGAAAGTTCCTCTTGAATGCGATCGGTTATCGCCTTTCGTGCTTCCATCTCACCCGTTTTTGACGCCCGCAAATCGGCCAGCAATCCACTAAAGTCTATGGGCTCACCGTAATTCATAGTAACTTTCTTTCCTGTTCTAAATATGTAGGGCGGCTCGTTGGGAAGTACATCATCCATACCGAAATGGTAAATAGGAATTACGATAGGCGTAATGGGCGATTCTAATATTAATCTACCCACGCCCCATTTCAACCTAAAGAATATTATCGATTAATTTAACTCACGTTGAATGCGATATGCTCATCTACAATCTTCTTATTTTATATGTATAGAGTTTTAAGAAATAGTTTTTGTAGAGTCAAAGATATTTTTCAAGAATTAAGCAAATATATACATTTAAATTTTTAATATTTTAATAATCCAATCATTGTACATTAGGCTTATTTCAATTGAATCGATCTTTATCTCTAGCATGCGATAAACGTTTCAAAAATTTTAATTGCAAATTGTAAACATTTTTTTGTATTTTTTTTTTCACTTGCATCATAATACGATAGCATTAATTCGTAGTAGCGTATGCAGATTTGCGCTCTCAGGTTTCAGAGCGAAAGATTACGAAAGTAACTCGAGTACGAACCTTATATCTTCCTTATACATATTGACTTTTCCTTCGGGGAAGACATGCACCCACTCGCCACAAGCCAACCTTTCGATGCAGAAGTCCATGGCTTCCTGATACACGCCGTTACCTCTGACGATGGGTATGCACTTGCCGAGCATGAAAAAGTAGGAATGCCAGACATTCGTGAAACAAATGTCCTGGGCGGCGAGCGACCATCGTATCTTACGTCGATTAAACCCGTGCCGGATGTCCAGGGTCGCTAAATGAGTTCAGAGATTTTTCTGTCTTAAATTCTTTCATTCGATCGCGTATCGGCGTCGTTCTGAGAAAGAAAAATACGTCTCAAAAGAGGGGACATGAGCGAACATTTAAAGATGTCGAGACACTGTGTTACTCGTTTTTAAAGAAAGAGAAAAAAAACACGAGCGGAAAAGTCCAAGGAAACGTATTATATTAATTACGAGAACAATTAAGCGCCGGAGACACACGGAACTAACGATAAAAATACCCTTGTCTTGTTTTCACGTGTAACTACTAATATGACTAGCTATTATCTTATCATTAGTAATTTCGCATTTACAAGTCATTAAACTAATTCGAATACGAAAAATACACAGAGAAAAATGTACACTGTATTTAAGTAAATTATTTATTTTAAATATAACATAAGTTTATATATCCGCAAATATATATTAAATTTACTACAAGCATTAAATTTAATTGAATATATGCTGAATTTTAGTAAGTGCAGTATTTTAGTCAAGAATATTATAAATTAAAACAAAAATTTGGTTTGCTTACTACATACAATTGACGTGAAGTAAGTTTGATTTTTCTTTGATACAACTTTACAATATTCTTGAAAAGAAAATAAATTCTTCTTTTGACATGATAATGTTTACATGATACATGAGATTTTCTAACACTTGTGATGAGTATATTTTAAGATTATTATCAAGAATATATTCTTTGTTGAAGAAAATTATTATTTAAAAAAAGAAAAATAAACTGAGTAATCTCTTTTCTTGACAGTAGAATGATTATAGATATTTTTCGCTGTGTACTCGGACAGACAATTCGATTTTTAATTTTTTTCCAAGAACTAGCTGGTTCTGTACACAGAGAAAAATGTATTCTATTCAAGTAAATATTATTTAGTTTAAGTATATTATAAGTTTATATATCCGCAAATATATCACAAGTTCACCACAAGCATTAAATTTAATTTAATATATTCTGAATTTTAGTAAGTGCAATATTTTAGTCAAGAATATTAAAACAAAAATTTGGTTTGCTTACTACATAGAATTGACGTAAAGTAAGTTTGATTTTTCTTTGATACAACTTTATCATATTTTTCAAGAGAAAATTAATTCTTCTTTCGAATACATGATAATGAGATTTTCTAATACTTGTGATGAGTATAGTTTAAGACTTATCAAGAATATATTCTTTGTTGAAGAAAATTATAACTTAAAAAAAGAAAAATAAACTGAGTAATCGCTTTTCTTGGCAGTAGAATGATATTTTTCTCTGCACGGAGAACATTGTAAAGTTGTATCAAAGAAAAATCAAACGTCAACTCTTGTAGTAAGCAAATCAAATTTTTGTTTTAATTTAATATTCTTGACTAAAATAAATACTGCACTTACTAAAATTCAGAATATATTCAATTAAATTTAATGCTTGTGGTAAATTTATGATATATTTGCGGATATACAAACTTATGATATACTTAAAATAAATAATATTTACTTGAATACAGTATATATTTTTCTCTGTGTGTGTACGCGAATGACAGACAATTCGATTTTTAATTTTTTTCCTCAAGAACTAGGCTGGCTCTGTAGTTAACGAATTTCACACATTGAGATATCGTTATTTCGTTTCTCGGCGCTTAACTGCGTCTGCGGAAAGCATGCTGTTTTATTAAAATGTAGGGTCCCGTCGTCGCGTCGTTTTACACCTCGAACGATTCGTACGCGAGCGCATATTTTATTTACATTTTTTTCTCTCTCTTCTCGAGACAATAAATCAACCGCGCGCAACGCGAGTCCGGCTGACCGAGAGAGGGACTGATGATACGTTATTACGCGGATGCCGAAAGGCATTTAAACGAACGACGTGAAGAGGAAAAAGCTTACCCCATAGGCCCGGATCGTCGAAACAACTGTGATGATTCGACACGGTAATGAGCGGAACGTTTTTCGGCCGGAGGTCTAAGGCGCGCACGATAATGTGCTTGTTGTACACCGTCGTTTTGTTCAGCCATTCTTAAATGCACAAGATAAATTCTTTGTTAGATTACACACCACGGAGGATACTCACACACGTAGTCGTAGTCATTTACGGCCCAGAGTCCGCGAAACGGACTCGCCTTGGCTCTCGACCTGAGTTTCCTGACACAAAAAATCAGAGATTCGTCAAAAAATCAGGGTCGGATCGTCGCGTTTTAATCTTCAAAATCGAGAGCTTCGATATGTTAATTCGAGAGATTGCCTCTCTTCTACACGCACGTTAATCGAACACCCTTCACGCGAGAATGATAATCGCAAACTTCCTTTAAAAACGTTTGCTTTACGTTGCTTTAGGTCAATTATCTATAATTATACGTTTACGGGAGAGCGAACGTAATTATATAACGATAAATTAATGCTTTATTACAGATTCAAGTTAATAATAGCCCTGTTAATGAATATTTTGTTAGTAAATAATAAGTGACGCGCAAGATACTCTGAAAAGCATAATGTAATAATGGTTGGAAATCGATATCGCATTATTAAATTACATACCGAGTTAGCATGACAGTTCTTTAAAATCGTCGTAAATCAGAAAACATACGAACTTTGTATCTGACCTTTGTATCTCTGCGTACGATGAATTAACAAATTTTTTTCGCATGAATTAACAATTTTTTTTCGCATGAATTAACATAATTTTGCATTCACTTCAAATTATGTGTTATAACGCGAATGAGTGTCACGCAGAAAAAAAGCAATAAACATAAATTTTATAGTCAATGTTATTATATTTCACGGTGAAATGCGTTAATAAATGTTATGTTATTATGCAAATATTGATACCTGAAAAAATGCAAAATGTGCAAAAAAATATTATTAAATATAAAATGGTTTATACTTATGTTTAAAAAAAGTTCAGTCGATCACGTTTAGCGCAATTGATGTTTACGTGCAAAAATTATTTTGTTTATATTTAATGCGCTTACTTTTATTAAATTCTACATGTACTTTTATTTATTACAAATTGTATTAAAATGACATGTTAATTTATTGAAAAATATACAAACTCTTTCTGACTTTGTAACGAATATTTCAATAAATAAATTTAAAAAAAAGGAGATAAAGAAACATTCTGCATTCTGCTAAAACTCTGCGAAATACATTTAGATCACATTATATAATAGATTTTATATACAAAGATTATCAAGAGTGCATAATGTCTATGTTTACGATATATTACGTACATAACACATCGACCACATGTATTACTAATACTAATATTACGCGTGAAAGAGAATAATATTGCTGGTAGAGACACATACGTGCAAAACCTGATCTTGGACGAGCGGCGAGTCTGTACCTCAATTAAGCATAATGATCGATGACGACACAATGACTATGATCTTTCTCTAGCGATTGATGTTGACAGATAAGACTTGCTTCAATCATAACTCGTGTGTCACGCTCTAGGATGTGTTTTCTAATTTCATTATTTTTTACAAACAACACATTACGTTTTCGAGCCTCGACGATGGTACCTGTCGCTGAACGTTCGCGCCCGTGCATTTTCGCGCGGAGGAAACTGCCACCGTCAATGCCAGCCAATCTAACGACATGCCATAGCTCGTGCTATATATTTTCATTTAACCTTCGTCACCTACGTTGCCCTACGCGAACCTACGCCACTCTATAAACGAATGCACGGGAAACGATCGTTCGCTCGCGCGCACCATCGTCACCGCTCGATCACATGGCACCTGTCATCGCGACTGTCGCGAGACTCGCGAGTCGAATTCCGCGCGACAACCGGCGCGCGGACGGCCCTTACCTATGATGATTTTCGAGACGATGCCCACCGCCGCGAAGGTTATGCTGCTCGCGATGTTCCACAGTCGGGACGGGTTCCGTAGCCGCGGGATGATCCACTCGATGTTGTATGGCATCGCGTCGACGGCCACCACCGTGCGTGACTATCTAGAGCGAACGGCGGTACGACGCTTGTCTGAAGCAACGGGAAACGGCTTCCCCGCGAGAGATCGTCCGGTCTTTCGTAACGCGCGGCAGCCATCTTCGTGCGCGAGTCAGCGCCATGTTTCGCGACGCGGTCACGTGGCCGAGCGTCCCCGAGCGTCCCCGAGCGTCGCCGAGCGTCGCCAATCTCGGCCGATCCCGGCCGAACGTCACCACCTGATCCGCGCGAAATCGAATTTCGATTTAGAACGATGCGAGATTTAGATAACGAGTATGTTATTTTGCGAAAGAATCGAGTAACTCATTTTAGAAAAGAATCGAGTCCTTGATTCGAGTCGAGTTATTTTGAGTACAAAATATACAAATATTGATTTGACAAGCTCGATTGAATTGAAAATATCTTAGTATTCGAGTAGTATATCTTAGTATCTTAGTATTACGAAATCATTAAATATCGATATCAGTACACAGAGAAAAATGTATACTGTATTCAAGTAAATATTATTTATTTTAAGTATATCATAAGTTTGTATATCCGCGAATATATATTAAATTTACCACAAGTACCGAATTTAATTGAATATATTCTGAATTTTAGTAAGTGCAGTATTTTAGTCAAGAATATTAAATTAAAATAAAAATTTGATTTGCTTACTACAAGAGTTTGACGTTTGATTTTTCTTTGATACAACTTTACAATATTCTTGAAGAGAAAATAAATTCTTCTTTTAAGTACATGATAGTGAGATTTTCTAACACTTGTGATGAGTATATTTTAAGATTATTATCAGAGGAATATATTCTTTGTTGAAGAAAGTTATTACTTGAAAAAAGAAAAATAAACTGAGTAATCGCTTTTCTTAGTAGTAGAATGATATTTTTCTCTGTGTGAATGAAAATATAAAGTGAACGTACTTTTATATCCACATTTTTCCTTCGCCTAGTTCCCATTTAATACAAAACATTTGATACACAGAAAAAAAAGGACATTCTTGTTTTGAAAATATATTTAGTTTTAACATGGAAATCTTGAAATGAGATTATATCGCGTTAATTAAAGAATTAAATAATTAAATTTAGAATTTAGGGCTCCTACTTCTCCCCCTCCCTTCTTCTCACCGGCATGTCTCTTATCACCTGGGTAATGTATATTTAATGCGCAGTTTTTGACGCGACGTGCTTAGTCATGTTTCATTGCGTCCTTGGATTTCTGCAAATTCGCCTTTGAATGCTTATCCACTTTAATCAGCTGGGTTTCATCAGTTATCAGTATTATTAAAACATTGAGGAAAGAAATTTGCTTGACGAGAATTCGAAGAATATATTTCAAATCGATTCGAAAAGAGATACGCCGTTTTATCTTAAGGATGTTTTGTACCTATTTTCAAAACATTGAGAATTTAATGAAAATTGTACAGAATGTCCTTATATATGTTTAGAATTTTCAGTACAATTTTTAAATCGATTCACTTAAAGCGTTCACAAGTTATAAGGATTTTAATTTGCACCGAATTAACATGTGTTCTTATGGGAAACATATAATCACGTCGATTCAAATAATAAAAACACATGGAAATAATATTCAGAATTTGTTTAAAATTTGCAAAAGTTTAGATACAGAGGAAATATTTGGTCAAATAATATTATACAAGTATTAACTGATTAAAAAGATATTAAGTATAATTTAATGAAGTCAGCCATGTATCTGTCACAAGGTGAAATTCTTTGCCAAAAGTTAATCATTTCGATTCACAAAATTCGGAATATTTCAGTAAAAACGCAATAAATATTAAAAAATACGTCTCTGCACTGTAACCAAGATCAAATTGTAATATTCCACGCAATTTCTCATAATCAAAATACACCAAAAGTGGATATATTCGTCAATATTGATTTTCAGCTACTTTTTGCTGGGATTGTACATACAAATCATCTTTAATTCTTTGATTGCACGTGTCTTTGATTGCAGTAATATAATTGCGAAAGAGTAAAAAGTATTCTCTTATAAAGTAGACCCAATGTTATTTAAATTTGTTAGCTTGATAAACGAGATTAAAGAGAACTTTTGAAAAGGTTTTAAGAATCGATACGCAAGCAGCTTATTCTCTATCTTTTAATCTTTCCGTTGAAATAACTTTAACGACGGAATTATTACTCATAAATTTGCATTGTTTAGTGATGCTACTAGTCACGGTAATTATTTGAATGATTTAATTAAATCGACATCGCGGCGGCTCTATTGTCCTAGTTTCATTTAATGTTTAATTACATTCTAGAAGAGATTGAATCGCGCGTAACGAGAGATGGCGATGTGCAACGAAGCAAATATACACGGGTAAAAACGAAATACCAGAAAGTGGAAACGAGGCGGAGAAAAGGGAAAGACAAATGCGGAATATTAAACGTGGGAGAAAAAATAAAATGGGAGCAGGAAAGAAGAAACGAGGGGAAGGCAAAAAGACTGGAAGGTGCGAGGAAAAGAAAAAAAGAAAAAAATGTGTATACAGAAAAAAATGTCAAATCAAAATTTTTATATTTAAACTAACGCGTTCACTGTTTTGTATATAGGCAACAATTTATAATCTTCTTAGAAGAATTTAATAATTTTAAATTTCAACAATATTATAGTCTTATTTTAATATTGTAATTATCATCTCAAGAATATATAATTATTTAATTCTACTTTAAGAAAATTATAATCTTTGATTTAAAAATGTTATTTTCTATCCAACATTGTTTCTTTTCCATTCAAGAAAATTAAATCTTAAATCATAAGAATATATTTTTCTTGATGGAACTTTATAAAATGGCTTCATTTAAGTAAGCAATTATTCAAGCAATTATATTTTTCTTTAATTAACGCGATATAATCTCATTTCAAGATTTTCATGTTAAAACTAAATATATTTTCAAAACAAGAATGTCCTTTTTTCTGTGTATCAAATGTTTTGTATTAAAGGGGAACTAGGCGAAGGAAAAATGTGGATATAAAAGTACGTTCACTTTATATTTTCATTCACATTCCACACAGAGAAAAATATCATTCTACTGCCAAGAAAAGCGATTACTCAGTTTATATTTCTTTTTTCAAGTAATAATTTTCAACAAAGAATATATTGTTGATAATAATCTTAAAATATACTCATCACAAGTGTTAGAAAATCTCATTATCATGTACTCAAAAGAAGAATTTATTTTCTCTTCAAGAATATTGTAAAGTTGTATCAAAGAAAAATCAAACGTCAACTCTTGTAGTAAACAAATCAAATTTTTGTTTTAATTTAATATTCTTGACTAAAATACTGCACTTACTAAAATTCAGAATATATTCAATTAAATTCAATGCTTGTGGTAAATTTATGATATATTTGCGGATATACAAACTTATGATATACTTAAAATAAATAATATTTACTTGAATACAGTATACATTTTTCTCTGTGCAGAGAAAAAGAGTATAGAGCTTTTTCGCAGTCTCTCTGAATAATATAAAACGTTAGTGATTCTTCGAAACCTCTTAACACACACAAGTGAATGGAACTCTTCAAAGATCTCCGTACGCGTTTTGTAAACAGTGACTATTTACATACTATTTTCACGTAATGTGCCTAATAATGATTACGTTTACGCATCACCCTTTTCGGATTTAATAACATGTAGTAGTTTTAAAAATTGGCCAATTACATTTATTCTATTCTTCAAAAAAATAACTATAATTAGCCAATTTTAAAACTAGACATGCTATTAAACACGATTAAAGGTGATGTGTAGATGTATAGTCAATGAAGCCTTTTTAACAAAAAATACACATAAACATATAATTAGCTGTCAAATGTGGAAAAATTTGCAATAGAAAAACTCTATTTGTTTAACACTCAATCGCGTAAGAATAAGGATAATACAATAAGAAATAAAAAAATACAATAAGAAATAAAAAAATACAATAAGAAATAAAAAAAGAATAGGAATAAAAATACAAAGAATCGCGCGGATAATTGAGATTTATTAGAGCTAAATTTTAGAGATAAATTCATTATTATTAATTATCAATCGCAATTGATCGCATCGTTGATTGTCCGTCATCGATCTAGAAACGGAGACTCCACTCTTTCTTCCTCGACGAGAGGATTAATCGACGTTCTCGGAATCGAGTCATCCGAGAGTCGGTCCTCAAAGGCGCTCTTTCTCTCTTTCTCCCCCATCTCTCGATAACTTTCCGCGAAACGCGCGGCAGAGGCAAGAGGGCAGTTAACCGCGCGTGGAATCGACACGCGAGCTATATCGACTCGGTTCGATCGCACGGTCATTTACGATCGCGAGTGAAAATCTACGCGCGCGCGTAGGATAGAGAGGGGAAGCAAGGAAGGAAAGAAAGAAAGAAAGAAAGAAAGAAAAAAAGAAAGAAAGAAGGGCTTCTCGCGCGCGCGAGAGAAGACGCACAATGATGCGAGAGCGTGAGTCGGAAAGAGAGACTGGGGGAAGGGGGAGGGGGAGGAGGGGGGAGAAGGAGAACGTCCAGTGGCATTCGGGACGTTAGGAGGAGCGGGAGGGGGTGAAGGGAAGGGGGAGCGGAGCGGAGAGGAGATCGACGCGAGGAGAGAAGCGGCAACCAGTCGAGGCGCGCTTGACGGAGTGGGGAGTTGGGCCTCATCTCGGGTCGGTCGGTCTCTGCGTGTTGGCGCGCCGTCGAACAAGGCACCCTTGGCAAGTACACAAGTCGGTGCGCGATCACGTCGGCGAACGCACACTGCGTGTGCGCGCATCGGTGGCGATCGTCCGACCGATCGCCAAGTGCATTACCTGTCTGTCTCTCTCTCTCTCTCTCTCTCTCTCTCTTTCTCTGGCTTCCGCTCGCGCGGTTTGTTTCGTCGAAAAAAAATTCGCGATCGAATGTACGAGGCTTAAGCTCCTCCTTTTTCGTTTCAATTAGCGCGACGAAGCGCGCTCGTCGGAGTCGAGATCGTTTCGGAGTCGAAATCCTCCGGTCGGATTCGCCGGCTCGCGTCGCGCCGCGAAGTTGTCGGCGATTACGAGCGCGCCGCGTCGTGAAGTTGTCGGCGATTACGAGCGCGCCGCGTAACCAACGCGAAGATAGTTACAAGGAAAAAGGTGGCGAGAG